CTCTCTCTCTCTCTCTCTCTCTCTCTCTCTCTCTCTCTCTCTCTCTCTCTCTCTCTTTCTTCTTCTCTCTCTTTTCTTCTTCTTCTCTCTCTTTTTCTCTCTTTGAGTCTATCATTCACCGATAACGATCCTCTTGCACCGCGATGAAATAAAGGACGGTAATTAACAAGTAGCACGTTTATTCCCTTTTCTCGCTCCCCTGTCTCTGCTTCTTCGCGCCTTTCGATTCATTATGATGACGAGCAAGAGGCTCTAAGCAATGTATTTATGCAGTAACGGCAGTTTCGTCGGTCGATGCGCTTGGAGAGGTGACGACAGCAACGAAACCATCGCCTTTCAGATGTCGGACTATTATTCCACCTGCTCACCGACTCTGGCTTACTGTCCCGACAACGAGTGCGACGAGCTGGAGAGCAGCGATTCGCGCATATGCCCGCAGGATTGCGTCGCCAAATGTGAGTTGAATCGCGCGTATCGGGCTCGTCGATCGGGTTAACGCGGCAAATCCGACGTTGTCGACGTGTGTTCCGACGATACCGTGGCGGCGAATCGGTGCGTTACATTGCGTCGTTAACATCTCGCAACGGATAAATCGGCGAGTAGCGAAGCGTTCGGAACGATAATCGAGACGTCATGTGAAACACCAGAGGGAGAAATATTCTTTCTTTCTTTCTTTTACCTAAAATCACATGCACCTTCTTTAAAGTCGCACAATCCTTCCAGAAAGTCCTAAACGTCATTCAAAATTTCTTATCAAATTTTAAGGGACGAAAGAAAACAAGTAGCTTTAAACTTTAAATCTAAAGGCCGTATTAAATAGTCGTTACTTAAAACTTGTCCCACGTGAGATATTCTAAATTTAAAGTTAGATGAAAATTTTTTGTTTGAATTATATAATACATATAAATATTTTGCATTCGCAATCGCGAGTCAGCTGAAAAACTCACGTTTAACTCTAAATTAAAATCTGAGCGTCTCATTTGAGGTAAGTTCCAAAAGTAATATGAATCAAAATCATCTAATTTCATAACTGATTCAAAATTCGAGAGGCGCTGCCGTTTTTCAAATTTTATAAGACATTTTAAACGGTGCCACTATATATATCGACACTGTTAGAACTCAAAGATTTATATAAAATTCTGAAGTTATTTAAAAGAAAGAATAAGGCCGTGCGCTGAATGTTGATGCGAATAAATTGGTCGAATGGAAGAGGATAATGATGTTTAACAGTGTTAGGCACATGTGCTAAATATTTTTTGGCCTTACAACGTACGCAGTGAGTCGAACCTTCCACGTCAAACTGACTCTGAATCCCAATTGTTATTATATTTATAATTACATATAAAAATTGTTATTATATTTATAATTACATATAATTACATATAAAATTCTTCTCTTAAAATTATAATTTTTACCGCAATATTTTTTCCACGTAATGTAATATGGAGAGCTTCTTAAGATCCAGCGCGATCACACGATCGTAAACTCGCGTTCTTCTCCGAGAAAAAGCTCTCCCTTCAAGAGCTCAGCCCCTAAAGTTCGTCTGGGACACGCTTGGCTCCTCTCTTTCGCACGCAAAGCCTTCGATTTAAAAGGATTTCGCGTCACTGTCGTCGCAATCGCGTCGTGCTATCGAAAGGGGCATTAAGGGGCAAGGATTATTAAGCCCCTCGTCTTTGCCAGATGTATGCCGCGTTCGTATCGAGCCGACGTACATTTATTTTTCAGCGGACGTGCATTTTGCGGAGTCCAACGAGGACGGCCGCGGCATAAAGACAGGCTTAGGTATCTGCGCCTGCAACGATCTGCTCAAGTGTACTTGTGGACCCGACACTTTTCGCCACGTGAACAACGTGCCCGGCGTCAAAGAGAAGCGACTGGGCGCCGGAAAATTACGCGATCGTGACAACGAGGTCGTCGTGTCCGGCGCGCGCAAAGGTTTGTTGTCGCACCACGCGTTTTCCTTCATTTTGCCGCTCCCTCCCCCGCACTTCTACCCCCTTTTCTTCATCTGCTTTCCTCCCGCGCAAAGCCAGCTGTATATATCCTTAATCTAGGGGTAATTGTCCATATCACTGCGTCTGTTTCTATTAATGTGTCTTTCTATTTAAATAAACTATAAAAAGGAAACTACACTGTAAAAACTGATGTTAAATTTAACATTTCATGTATCCCAAATCATCCACTCTTATTTATGTGTAAATTTAACACAAAACAAATGTGGTAAAAAATAACACGCATAAAAATTAACACAAGAATTTAACACTTGAACCGTCAGGAACCATAATTTATGTTAAATTGACATATGTATAATGTTAAATTAACTAAAATAAAACGTTATTTTAATATTTACTTTAACGTTACTTTAACATTTAAGAGAAGTATTAATCTACAGTTTTGATGGAATCAAAATGTTAAACTGACGTAATCTGTCTGACATATTAAATATGTCAATTTAACATATTAAATATGTCAATTTAACATATTAAATATGTCAATTTAACATATTAAATATGTCAATTTAACTTATGATTCCTAACAGTATTCAAGTGTTAAATTCTTGTGTTAATTTTTTCCATATTATGCGTGTTACTTTTTAATACATTTATTTTGTGTTAAATTTACACATAAATAAGAGTGAATGATTTAACACATGAAATATATTAAATTTAACATATCAGTTTTTACAGTATAGCACAGAGAAATAGAAAAAATGTTGTTTAATTAATTAATTTATCTATTTTTAATTAAATTAAAATATTAAACCTAATAAAAATACTTTGATTCACTTTTTTATTTACATTTATTTGTGCTATTTTTTATAGCTTATTTAAATAAGCTATATAAGGCACACTAACAGGAATAGAAGCACAGTAATGCAAACAATTAACCTACGTCGTGTCAACCTCTGTATGCTCGTCTTTGTTATTAACCCTAAACATGGCTAAATCTTACCTAGCCCATTTGCTTATAACTCCCGGAAAAATTATTGAAATTCAATCTTTTTTCTTTTTCAATCGGTATAGAAAACACATCGAGGAATATGAATCTAATAATATTTCTGCGATTCAATGAAGTTGATAGGAGTTATGATGAAAAGATAGAACATATGTTTCTGAGAATTATAATATTTGAAAAGTTACTCTGAGTAAATTTTACACATGTTCAGGGTTCTAGGATTAAAATGTTTCTTTATTTCCTTTTTTTTTCTTGTAGTGTCCAGCAATCCGTGTGGTCCTACATGTATGATGGGTGTTATCGGGGCCAGTCTGTTTGTATTGATTGTGATCGTTGGGTCTTTCGTCATGTGGCGGTACAGGTGAGAAACTGAAACACTTGCTCGTACAAAATAATTTAATAATTTAGCGCAAGATATAATGAGATACTGTCTCTTCCTAACACGACTCCTAATTTTGCGCGACACGTTGCCGATAAGTTGTCGAACGAGTCTCTCGAGGCTATTGATTAATTAATTTCCGATAGTAAGAAAGACGTTAAAGTTCATTTAAAAGGAACTAACCGTGTCGCGACACGCGCGTTAGATCGATGTAACAATGCTTGTTTGGGGATATCGTGACGGAACGACGTGTTGTAAGTCTTTCGGTTCGGACAGGTCTTAAAAGGATTTGGTCGACTATCAGTTTCAGACCAACAGCTTATACAGAGCTTATCGGCTCGAGCCTTGCGTTTATTAGGAATTAAGGACGTTGCAAAGTTTACAGCCAAACAGGATTTTGAACGTAATTTACTTAAGTAAACCCGTGACTCGCCGGAGTATGAAAAGTGCCGAAGATCTCCCACACTCAGGGGAAAACGTAGTAATGGCAACTGTAAAGTAACAACTATACGAGCTTAATATGATAGAATTATAATGTGTAGTAGCTTAATAAACTATCTTGTTGCATATCTAAAGCTGTTGCATCTAAAGTTGCAATGAATCTAAAATAGTTTGTTAAGCTGTATACATTAATTCTACTTACAAAACTCGCATAGTTGTCTTTTTCTCTGAGTGCACACAAGTGAGGTCTTTTGAGATGTATCTTCACGATTTGTGATTCCGTAGCACATTAAAAGAAATCGTCGTGGAGATAGGAATCGCGATCTCTCGCGTGACCGGATCTCGTAATCGCAAGAGTGTGTTTGTCTCACTCGCGAAGGACTAAAGAGTCCAACTCGTCGGCGGAAGCTTTCGCAGGGAACGGAATTGCGGAAGTTTCAGCAATATGCACGTTTTCCGTTACGCTCGCCGCATGCGATCGGTTGCTTCTTCTTCCACCACTTCTTTCCTGAACCTTTCGATATGTATTGCCCAGTTACGGGCTGGGTTATAACTTCGTAATACTTCCCGGCACTGCAGTTTTCTGTCGAAGGGATTTCAGAGTAAACATAGAGTCGCGGGGAAACTGATAGTCGATAAAGCCGGGGGGATCTCCGTGCGTCCAAAAATTGAATATTCGGCTTGCAAATAAATGTTTGCTGATTCAGCGAAAGAAACCGCGAGAGCGTGAGCGCACTTCATATTTATTATTTGCAAGCCCGCGCGAGTTAAACTTTCGAATTTAGGTCAATGTCTATCGGAAATGCTCTGCGAAAGTAACCGGTGGCCGCATTGGATTAACCACCGCTGAGCTGCATTAATAAATCCCGAGGTAACTCAATCGGAAAGGACAGAGCTCAAATATATCTCATTTTGCGGTCCTCTCTACATCTCTCCTCTTGTTTCTATCGAATCACGCGAGAGTCTGTTTGCTAAAGTCGATCAAAATCGTGCGTTTCGCAGAGGGTACAAGTGAAATTAATTTAAACCGGTCGCAATTAACGATGGCACTGTTGATCCCCGAGCTATTATGCTATTCCGCTCCATAAACCAAGATGGCTGAGCGAGTCAGCGTTAGCTCATCTTCTGCATCGCGATTCTCCGCGTTCCAGGAGGGCGGCGAAGGGCGCACGGCGGGAATGCAAACACAGGGTGGACGATGCAGCGAATGGTATTGGCATTCTACCGTCCGACTACATCGATCGTGGTGACGGTCTCTTAATCGGTCTGGATACTTTCACGGCGGCGAATCGTCATCTGTTGCTGCCCAAGACTTGTCCGGTGAGTCCATCAATTACTGTTGTATCAATTAGAAATCGAAAAATCCGATTAGGCAACGTATCATGACTTATTCGGCCGCCTTTTTTGCGCCAAGATTAACGCGTTCACTATATCGAGAAAACGATATGGCTGGCCCACACGTATAAATGTGATTATGCCCAGGAAATATCTGCTATATTTCTAACGAAATCTACTATTTTCCCTAGTAAGATTCTTACTAATAGTCTATTTCTGAGTTACTGGAAACAGTAAAAATGAAAAGAATTTATATGAAAATCCTCTAAATAAATTGTAGAGCGAACGTGTTAAAAATTTCCGACTTATCGCGAAATATTATCTGTACATTGACGCTACTTAATGCGTTGCACAAAGTTGCGGAAACTTTCTTATTACCTCGATGTCGGTGTAACACTTAAGGTCGACGCTATCTAACCAGCGCAGACTCGTGACTTTCCGGGACGATATATATAAGATAAGAAAGAGCGTTGTGTGTGTGTGCAACGGCTCTTTAATAATAGCAATAAAACTATTCCGCGGACTATGCTTAATCCAGATTATCTATACACGTTCTTCCGCGCTGGTGGATTACTTTTAATCTTGCAATTCGCGGCGCCAAATCCAACGCCTCGATTCGCGCACGGCGAGAAGTCACACAACACAAGAAGGGAAACATTATTTTAACATTCCTCATGCATTTAATAGCACATTTCTCGACGGTTCTTCGCAATCCCGCTCTTTCCTCTCTTTCCGTCGCCATAAATACATTCGCTTCGTTTAAAATACGGCGGGCATAAAAAGGTACAGCTGAGAAGGGTAAGGTATGCCTTACGTCGTTAAAGCCCGCTCACATATTCATTAAAAGAGTAAATTTGCTTGATTCATTCCTCGCCACTTATACTCTCTTCCATTCTCCTGCCTCTAATAAAACCGAGTCGTTAAGTCGCTGAGCGAAGGCACTCAAAGAGAAATTTACAGTAAGAATTATTATAAAATTTATTGTGTAATCCCGTGGAATAGATCGGCATTCTACAGTAATTGACTCTACCTTTTCATTTCATATCTGCTACTTATATCTTAGGAAGCAAAATGTGCAATATTAAAACACTTGCTATGTCTCTCACGAAGTCTACTGTGCTTCCAGCGGAATTTATTTAGTTCTTTAGCAAGATAGACGGTCCATTCTCGGACCACAAAAAACATAACAAAATTCGAAGAAAATTCGTATGAAAAGGAGACCGATAATATTCTGTCTGTGTAACTTTCGCGTATTCTTCACGCGCGCGAACATTTGATTAAGGAAACAAATTCCCGTCATCTTTATTTATTTCTGCGATAAATTTCCCTCCCATGAAATAACTCCCGACAACGGCGGCGGCCTTTGTCCCGCACCTGTGTCTCTGGCGCGGCACGATCCGCGGACTTTTCTCCGACGTGGTCACCTCTCTCCCGCACGTGATACGCTGTACGTGCGTGCTCGCGTGTTAGCGTGTGCGGCCGCATAATCCCGAGGCCACGGCGTGCTAAAGCGCGTAAGCTCCCTCCGTGCACACGGAGGGAGATGCGAAACTACGGGGGTTGCTTCCCAGAATCCAAACTCCAGCGTCGGAAACTCGGTCAAGCATCTCTCTCACTCTCACTCCCCCCCCTCTCTCCCTCCCCTCTCTCCCTCCCCCTCTCTCTCGCCCCTCCTCTCTCTCTGTCTCTCTCTCCCTTCCCCTCTCTCTCCCTCCCCCTCTCTCTCTCGTAGTCTTTGAGTTTGTCCGGAATATTTGTTTAACGACGCTGTCGCGCGAGCGTGTATCGCCCCAATCTAAGGCTCGCTAATCTCTCGGAAGACGCGTCGTGCAGGACTCAAGGAGAACTCGATTCCGCATAACGGATGCCGCACCTTCTCGGGAGTATATAACAGCTGACGATGGCGACGACGAGAAGAAGGCAAGAAAGTGCCAGAGGGTGGATTTAATCTAAAGTTCGAGTTCGACAATTTCGAAAGTCACGCGTCTCTGTAAATTTGGAAGATCATAAAAATCTACGGGATCTTTGGCGAGGAATCCCCGAGGAGAATGTAAATTCGCGAATTTTGCGAATCACGTCAACGTGTGGAAGGTTGACGCGGCAGGGAAGAATGGAGTCCGGCGGAGGAGTTTTATGCCGCTTCACGGAAGCTCGTCATCATTTCGCATCGTGTCATTTCTCATACTTGGCCGATTCCGATTTCCGATATCTCGCAGACAATCGTGCGTTTTACCGGCGCTCGCGGGCTGTTCACCTGCGATGAATAACGGCCTACGTCGTACGTCGTTGCCTGCAATTTACAGCGGGCGAATATGCAAAGAAGAAGATCTCGGACGTGCCCCGCCAATTTCGCCCCCGATTAGGGAAACTTTTTCAAGCAAGCGTTGCTCGTATTTGTCGGGAGTTACGCCAGAATTAAAGCCCCGCTCCGGTATCTCCGGCATCACCAAACAGTTCTCGAAACTATTCGACGTAATTAAGCGACGCTCGGAACTGTGAGGGTCGCCGGGAATTTTTCACGGAACACTTCGCGAAATCCCGTCGGAGCTTTTGGAAATTAAGAGCTCGTCGCCGCGCTTGTTACGTCATTTCCGCACAATCTTGATAAACAAGAGGAAAGCTTCCCGAATCTCAGTAGAACTTTCGTGTTTTCTCTGTTCAATAATAAAAGCAAAAAGCAAACGTATCAATAAAATCGATATCACATCGTTCAACAATTGAATTAACCTTCCGAGTACGAAATGTTTCAGAACTAAATCGCTGAGAATATCACTGAGAACGAGAACAAACTTGGACTATCGTAGAAATCAGTGGAAAAGGTAACTTGTTGAAAAATCGAAAGCAATGAACCGGGACAAGTGAAATATTAATTTATTATCGCTAAAATATGTAAAAGAATATGAATATAAGCGATCATAGCAACAGCTATTGCTTGTATCGCAAGTATATATATAGTCGTTTGCATTAAATTTGCGACTTTCTTTAACAAGTTTATGCAACAATGATATTCTCTGCTTTATTAATTACTTTTTTATATTCTACATTTCTCGTATCTTTAGATGTTCTCGGATTTTCAAGAAAATGGTGGAATTATTTCCAATTTTCAGGTCACGCGGACAAACTCGGGCAATGACATTAAACTGACAATGTAGATAACGTACTGAGCAAGCTATACAAAATTTCATCTCAATATCTCGAAAGGTTCTCGAGTATTGTGGAACGTACAAGCAAAGAAACACGTACAGGACTGGAAACCATTTTTTTTAAGTCAGCTAAAAGTTTGACAGCCATCAATCTCTCAGTGTGCTAAAGTTTGCGGATTTATTCACTTCGCGTAAATCCATAAGCTTATTTTATAAACTCGTAAAAAAAAGTGTTGCAAACTTTATGCAAACGACTGTACGAGCCGAAGAAACTCGTCAGACGCATATATGTATCCACGGTCTATACACCGATGACATTTGCTGGCCGCAAATACGTGTCTATAGCACTCAAAGAGTTAATATCTCGCGAACTCGAGCTTAAACAAGACGACGTTTTTTCGCAGCAAGTATTTTCTTCTCTGCACATCGAAAGAGATGCATTCCGTTACAGTTCTCATCGCCCTGAGCGGCCACAATCGAATGAAAGGGTGCACGCTGTGCCGACAAAAAGACGAATGGAGCGAAATGTCTGTAGGTGGAAGGCGCGCTCGCGCGATACTTCTATTCTTCACGAGGAGTTGCTCTTCTCGGAGCGGCATCCGCGAGATAAAGTCGTCGCTTTTATTCGACGTTGAAGCGAACGTATGGCGTGCGCACGGTTCAGTGGGTTTATATGCCACGTAAACCCTTTCGTGACGCACGCGTCACACACACACACACACACACACACACACACATACACATTTACACGCATCGCACTGTTTCGCGTCCGACAAATTTCGTTATCGTGTTCGGCGACGAAGACCAGTATGTCGTAGCGAGAATCTAATCGCGCCAGCACGATTAATCCGTTTCACTTCGCCCGACAACGTTACTGAAAATCGCCGAGCGGATCAGCAGAAGGCTCACGCCAAAGTAACGACGTTGCTTTTGCGGACACACGTTTTCGCGGCGCGTCGCGACAGGCAGGAAAAAAGGACGAGCAGTCCTCGAGAGACCCGGCGCTCTCGAGAGGAAATGGCAAGGTGTCGAGAGCGAGGCGCGACGATACCACTTTCGTTCAAGTTGACATTCGCAGTGTTGCAAAATTCATGTATCGGGAGTACCGCTTGAAGAGGCGTCCCATGTGAAAGAGTCTGGTCTCTCTCTCTCTCTCTCTCTTTCTCTTCCGACGCCTCTATGTGAAACGCAACCGAAATACATTTATATCGATCGTGAAACGAATGGTGTTCTCGCATGTATTTGCGGATTTCGTTGAATCATCCTGACATCTCCGTTAATGATTTATCGAGTGAGCAGGATCTCCTGAAAATAAATTATCAGGTCGCGAGATTCGGCATCTTACGTTCGAGATCCTCAACGGACGCGAGTCACGTGAATACTAATTTGCGGTGGAATCTCTCATTATCTACGTGGTCCCATTATCATTCCCGAACCGTTGGCTAATTGGATACCCGGCCGGCCGGTGTCCATCGAGACGAAGTAACGGCGGATATCCTCTACACATTTGCGGATCCGAATCACGGATCCGAATCCGAAACACGTTTCGTGTGCGAGCTGCAGTATGTCGGATTAAAGGGAGCGAGAAGCTTTTATCGTAACCAGCACGGAAGGATTTATTAATCGACGCGCTCGCACTCGCCGCTCTTCGCGCTGTATCTTCTGAATTGTTCTCCGTTGCTTCACGCGAAGGGGAGGGAGAGACTCTCGTGAGAGAATTGCAACTGGAAAGAAGTGAAAACTAAACGAGGTGTAACGCACGTTATTTCCAACGCGGTCATATATTCTGCAGTGAGAAGCTCGCGAGAGAACCGAGCTTCTCACTACATTAAAAAACCGAGAGAACAAAAGTTATTATTAAAATTCAATTATTCGAGGTAGGTTGAAATTTCAGTTTACGTGAGTGAAAATGAATCAATAAGAGCTTAAATATCAATATGGTAGCAAAATTAAAAATACTTCTCGACGCCTGAAAATCTTTTTGGGACGAGAAATTAAATCGGGAGCGAATTGATTAATCAGAAGCTAAGTCGCACAAGGCCTAAAGTAATTATTATTAAAAGCGAAATATATTCAAAGTATAAATAATAATTCATAATTCTTCAGTTAATCGTAAATAAAAATGGGTCAATAAGTCTCTGAATGTCGATATAGTTATAAAATTGAAAATTAATATCCCTTGACCTCTGGAAGTCTCAGTACGACAAGAAACTAAATCGGGAGCGAATTAATTATCCATAAGCTAAACCAAGGACAAAAATAATAATTATTAAAAATGAATTATACTAAACTAGATTCGGGATTCTCCAGTTAGACGTAAATAGAAATGGACCAATGAGAGTCTGGATGTCGATATAATTGCAAAATTGAAAACTTTTTAATACCACCTCGACCTCTGAAAGTCTCTCTACGATGAGAAATTAAATCGGGAGCGAATTGATTATCCACAAGCCAAACCAGGGACAAAAATAATAACTACTAAAGTAAATTATATCAAAGTAGGCTCGGGACTCTCCAGTTAAACGTAAATAAAAATAGGTCAATGAGAGCCTGAATGTCGAGATACAAAATAAAAAACTCCTTAATACCTCCTCGGTGTCTGAAAGTCGCTCCGAAAATAGATCGGGGGCGAATTGATTATCCATAAGCCAAGGCGAGCTTGCGCGAGAACCTGGGCAAATCAATGATCGAGACCTGTAAACCCCGAATCTCTCCTCAGCCGGATCCAAAGTGGGAGTTCCCGCGATCGCGCCTGACGATCGAGCAGGTGCTGGGCGAGGGCGAGTTCGGGCGCGTGCTGCGCGCCAAAGCCGTCGACATCGGTGGATGGCCCGGGCCCACGACCGTGGCGGTGAAGACCCTGAAGGAGGACGCGTGTGCCTCCGAGTTGGCCGATCTGCTGTCCGAGTACCAGCTGCTGAAGGAGGCGCAGCATCCGAACGTGATCAGGCTGCTAGGCGCTTGCACGACGCCGGGCGCGCCGGTCTACCTCATCATCGAATTCGCCGAATTCGGCTCCTTACGGTAACTGGGCGCCGTGATATACACATATAGGTGTCCGAGCCGGCGTTATCCCCCGTTATTTATGACCTCTCGATTTCACGAGCTTTCCGGTCTTATCGACTGGCTGTGAGTCCCACGCAAGCGAATCCACGCAAATCGTGCGTCATGGCCGTCGGAATGGATTCTGACTTCCGCAGTGGGGAGCGTAACGGTATTTGCGGGGACATTCGTCGGATTTGCAATTTCTTTTTGTCTTTTTAACATGTTGACTGCCGCGCTGACGTTCATCGGTTGTGCAGAAGCTTAACTGATGATTGAATTGTCAAAGATAAAGAACTTTTATTCGAGATCCACATATCTTTTTATATGCTTTATTCTATCGGCTCTATATTGGCCGTACAACGGATTTACCAAGTATAATTAATTATTCTTCACTTAATTTAATCTTTCCAAGTAAAATTAATCATACTTTATGCTAATTAAGCATAAAGTATTAACTTTGTTAACACATCGAGGACGTCCCTTAACAATTATCCGAATGTTTTCTGCTTGAAATTAATTTGTCATCAATTACGGCTTTATCCCTTTGAGTAGTACTTCAATTACTTTGCAAGACAGAGCTTATTGTGTTCATTTACTTGTGCTCAATACACAGTAAATCAAAGTAATATAATAATAACAGTCCCACCATACTAATGACTATGACTATGAATTTAACGTGTTAATACGGTAACGAAACAATTATATTCAATTAAAGTATCTATCATCGCGTTCGTTATCCACCGCATTTTGCAAACTTTCAGCTAATTATCTGAATCCACGTCTATAAAATGACTCACCTTCCAAGTCGATGAAATCGCCAACAATTCGGTGAACTTGCTTCTGATAAAATTCCAGTCTTTCGTCACGACGATCTTTCATAGAGAAACGTGCTTTCCTCGTTAAATTGGACGCGCCGCGATAATAATAATTTCGCCGAGTGTGAGCGCCAAGAATGAGTAAATGATGGCCACGGAGGCTATTCAAGCTCGGTATTCGCAGCTCGGCATTTTTATTGTCTCATCGCGCGGCCCGGGAGAGACGCGCCGCGCAACGCCGGAGGCGGCCGCAATGTTTCCCCATTTATGCCGACGATGCTGTTACATAGGCACGCTTCTAAATGAACGACCTAGACAACGAACCCGCGCGACCGACTTATAAACGCGGAAATAACTCCACGGCGAGGCGCGCGCCGCGACGGAATTCCGTCGACGCGGAATTCCGCCACCTCGCCGGCACAATAACCTTCGCGAGAGCCTTCGTGTTTCCGAGTCGAGGCGCCAGTAATTAAATTTTTCCGCGACAGACAAACGCGACACTCGCATCAACGAGGCGCGCGAGCCTCGTTCTCGGGAACGAACGATTATCGATCGCGGCCACACCACTGCGGATGTCGCGCGTAATTTGCGCGATAATAATGCAATCCGCGCGCAATTTCAGCAACTATCTCAGACGCAGCCGGAACCTGAAGACGGAAGGAAGAACCGTCTGCTCGGCGTCTTTGCCTTCCGCTTCGCTGGGCAACCACGCCGGCGAGGAGCTGCGATGTGCTGATAACGCGTCGAACTACACGATAACGCCCCACGATATCCTCTCGTTCGCTTGGCAAATAAGCAAAGGGATGGCGTACCTGGCCGATATTAAGGTACGAATTTTCCCGGAAGTATTCGCGGAACTCAAAGAAATTCCCGAGGTTTTTAAACGACGAATTTTCACTGCTCTTCTTCTCCAAATATATTTAAGGAAAAAAAGAAAAATTACAAGAGAAACCAGAAAGATTAATCTTCTAAAATAACTTCAAAATAATTAGAAACTCCAGTTTCTATAATATTCTCCAATATTCGGGCCAACTCCGGTTATTGCCTCGTCAATGCGGCTCGTGATTACGCGGTCGCGACTGCGCTGCATCCCGTCGGGAATGCCGAAGTCGCAGAGTACTTTCATTCGTCCGAGTAGGTCGCAATTAATCAAACTTTCCTGCGCGGCGCAGTTGGTGCATCGGGATCTTGCGGCGAGGAATGTTTTGCTCGCCACCGGGAAGGTCTGCAAGATCTCGGATTTCGGCCTGACACGCGACGTCTACGAGGACGACGCGTACTTGAAGCGGAGCAAGGGGCGAGGTAAGCTTCAGCCGCGAATCGATTTCCTCAACGTGATGATCTCTCTGTAAAGTTCGCGATTTTGCCGGGGAGATCTGCAGACAATGCCAAAAGTGATTGCGCGAGGATCAAGCACAAACTCGGTTTCAGGATAAGGATTAAGGACTGAATTACAGGTCGCAGTTAACGCGCCCCTCGCGCTTGATACCGACGACTTTAATTCAGCCGCGATCTAGTAATCCGCTCGTAATTCTCTCGCTCATCCCTGTTCTCGCGCGCGAGGATTCGCGGCGAGAAAAACACTTTTAATGACTCGCGCGGGTCCGAGGTATCCGCTTTATCCGAGATTTTACGATTGGCCCGCAGTGCCCGTGAAATGGATGGCGCCGGAATCCCTGGCTGACCATGTGTACACCAGCAAATCGGACGTTTGGAGCTTTGGCGTGCTCCTGTGGGAGTTGGTCACGTTAGGAGCCTCGCCGTATCCTGGAGTGGACGTACATAATCTCTACAATCTTTTGAAGACCGGCTACCGTATGGAGAGGCCGGTCAACTGCTCGCAGCAATTGTAAGTACTCGAGGATAATCGCGTCATTTATTCGACGAAGAAGCTCGCCATCTTCAAGGAATCCGCGAAATCCATCGGATTATCTCCCGTGCAAAAGTATCTCCAGTTATCGCTTTTGCGTTAAAATGAGAGATTTATGTCTTTTCAAACGCGACCTTCTCATAATGATTCTCGACATGACTCGTTTATTAATCCTTTAAGGCACGATGTGTATAAATATATATACAATTCTCTTTTAGTCCTTTCCAAATTTTTTATTTTGGCAGTATAATGGTTCTATTGATGTAACACTATCAATCCACCTCCTAAGTAGAACTATATTATTCGTCCCAATCTGTAAAGCAGTTATTTTCTCGTCGAGGAAGTCAATGTAACGGTCGTGTACAGAGTAGAATTGTTGACGCTCGAAATCAAAATGTAAAATCGAGTGTAAAATTTTTTACGGAAAAGTAGCCAATGTTATTTTCTCAATTTTTTATGGATGTCATCTTAAAGTACAAGGTACGCTTTTGTGCTCATTTTATCATGATTGTAAGATTTATTAAAATCTATAACTGGAAGACATGTGCAATAAATATACATAATTATAATGAATGTATGTATGAATTGTACATAATTATGTACATTCAGAAAATCGTACTTCTCGTCAACTTTGCTTGGATTATGAAACTTTTTATCAGAGTCACGTTTTTTCAGACTATTTTATGAAGTAAAAATTTTTATCCGTTTTTTCAGGCTATTTTATGAAGTAAAAATTTTTATCCGAACGAGATTGATGACGGGGTTGTTGAAGAGTTAAAATGAGAAATTTAGGCTTTTTAAAACGCAATCTCTAATCTGGTTGGTCTATTAATCAGCTAACCCACATTGATGTAATCAAGCCTAGGGCGACACGTGACCCAACCCGCGCGATACTAATGCGAGACCCACATTAATTATTAGCAAAGAGAATCCGTAACAAGCGGGACTTTCCATCGCGCATGAATTATTCGTCTTGATGGAGATTCGATTAGCGCCAAATTAGCGTGGTATACAGCACGACGCGTTAGGAAATAGTGATTTACGTGGAGAGACATGATTCGACAATCGAACGCGACGTGCAGTCTTTTCAATTACAATTGCTCCTGGAAGAGAGCCAGGCTGCGCAAGTAGGTTAACCTTCTCAGCTGGTCATAAAGCTCGTCGTAAAAGTAGATTTTCGCGTAAAAGTAGAAGATTGCGCGAAGTTATTTTCCGTTTTTACAACTTCGCGAGAAAAGCATCTTCGATATTTTTCTTTTTTCAGGTATAAGCTGATGATGTCCTGTTGGCATCTGGAGCCCGGCATGCGACCGTCCTTCAAGGAACTGACATGCCATTGGGAGCGCATGCTGGAGGATGGTGTCGAGTATCTCGATCTTAATCCACGTACCGTCCATAATCAGGCCTATTTCGAGTCATTGCATTCCTTGGGCAGGACGGATGGTGAGTTGCACGAATCGATTCGAAATATTTCCGCTTCCGGCTCTTATCTTCCGGACTAACATCTTCAATAACTCGGAGAGTGCTTCAAATATTACGGTGCATTTACACTTCGAAACTTTTCCGTCGATGTCGTTTTCAATTAATACATTGCGAGCTGCACACATAACACATTAACATTTTATACAAAATTGAAAAACGTTTGACGACAATAATATTTTTATTACGATAATAATGTTTTTAATACGATACCCGTTAAAATATCATCTCTTGTGAAATAATATCAAGTGAGAAATGTTATTTTATTATAATATCTAAAATATCACCTCTTGCATGAAAAGATACCAAACAAAATTAATAGATGAATCGCGGTTTCATCCCTCTAAAGATGCACGTTTAATTTGATTAGTCATCGTTTTTCAAACCCACGAATCGATTATCGCGGTGTCCAACGATTTAAGGCGGTGCGACTTTGGATTACCTGAGGATTTCCGACGAAATCGTTTCAGATTCCGACGACGATCTGATGGGCAACAGGACTGTTAGCAAACTGAAGACGGATACCGTCAACTACCTCGGCAGGATGTCTTCCGAGCCGGTCACCAAATGCGACAAGGTAGACAAGCTGCAGGCGCTCTGGCAGATGTCCATAACGTCTTTTCCCGAGGAACCTATCAAGTCCCCTTATGTGAATGACCGACATGAACGACCTGCGAGCCTCAACACCAATCACTACGAGAGTCCCATTAAATTGAGAAACACCAGTGTGATCAGCAACAGTGAAAACGACCTGAAAGTAACCACCCAGGAACGTCCCCAGTCCTATATCGACATGGAAGGGAAGAAATCAGCGGAGACGGAGGACCTGTTGGTGTTCGGAAGCATGGATGACGACAAGAACGACAATAACGTGACGAATTGAGCGACCTAATCTCGCACACTGGACGTCCGACAAATGAAAAGTTTCCAAAATCGAATCAAGATACATGCTCGATTGTCTGAATCTCAACGTGTTCTCGATGTTTTCGAGCGGATGCACGATGAATGGCAAGGAAACCCGACGAAGCAGTGATATCAATCACACGAATCGCACGACAGAGAAATATATTTATCTAACGTGGCAAAAGGAAGCCTAAGAGAGAAAAATGTATGAAGTGATTTCATTGAAACGAAAACTGCCATTTTTTATGGCAATTTTATGGCAAGGAGCGCGATGGTACGATTAGATCGGAGAATTTGCAGCGGTGACTACTCCGCAACGGAGTTGAGCACCGCCGGAAGGATTCCTGAAGAATTTCCGGAGAATTCTTGAACAATTCCCGGAGAATTCTTCAGACGACCGAACGGAGCGCTCTACTGAGACTTGAGAATGGACTGTATGCAGAAGAGAACGAGTGCTATATATAGCGAGTAAAAATCAGTAAATAATTTATCCTATTTTTATGTACTTAAAGTTGTGCGACTGTTTGTCGATCAGCAGTGGTAAGGCCGCTTTTACTACTTAATACCGATAGTTACGCATCGTAATAAATCACTCACGCGGTTTCTCGACGAGGGCCATTGAGTTCCCCGATCGGCGTTAAGTGTCTTCTGTGTATCACACTAAGTGACTGTGATTTGAAGTTTGAGAGTAGTTTGCTCATTCAAAGCGACCAGCTTCCTTACGATCTACAAGCGCTACGTACAGGGTGACCCGAGCCAAGAACTTTCTTAAAAGGGTCGTTTCTCAATCGGCAATCTTCTTAACAAAAAACTTAATTCGTTGTCATAAGATCCATGACTTTATGTTCCTTCAACTGTTTCTTCTTTTTTGCATCAAAGATGCGCGGTCTTCCATCGAGTTTTCCTTGACAAACGCTCGCGAGGGCGAGATTAGACACGACAAGAGTGAGGCACCCTGCACGCAGCCACCGGGATTTGAAACTTGAACTTCCTGTCCCCTCGCCGTGATCATCTTGATTGATGATGTCAAAAGTGAGGAAATGCATGCCCGAAATTTCTGCAAAGCACATCGAAATAAAAAGACATTTAAGAAATAACTTGTAATTGATTAAGCACACTTCTCAAATATTCCGAACTCAAACTTTCCTTTTGCTCTGACAATCAATAAATGACCGAAAAATATAACAAAAATTAACGTGACATGCTACCTTCCTTTTTAACCTACATTTTGTCATTATTCTGTCGCCTTAATTTCACGATTATTTATTGATCATTAGAGCAAAAGGAAAGCGTTCGCAGTACTTTAGAGGTGGACTTAATCGATTGTAAGTCATTGTTTGCATATGTCTTTTTATTTCGACGTGCAGGAATTTGAGCACGCACTTCCTCGCTTCTAACGTCACCAATTAAAATAGTCACGGCGAAGAGCAAGAAGTCTTAATCGTCACGCTTCCCTCGAAACGAGATACCTTTTACTATCGCACTAGCTTTTTGTGGCTTTCGTGTGCCCGGCGCAACAGAGCAGATCGCACAATGCGACGCACGAGTAGCGGAAGTACGAGTGGCATTTTTACGAGACGCGTGTTGCGCGAACTGACGGCCGCAGCACGACGACACCATATCCGAAGAAGACTGTGTTTTGCCGTACCTCACCGAGAGAACGAAGTCGTCCTTTTTGTATTTATGTATAAATGCAACATTCCACGAGACTAGGCTAGTTGTTTCGTCGCGCGAGCACGACGCTCGCGTCTGATTTTTCATCTTGCGACACTACGCGTTTAGTGTACTTTCCGGTTTTTTCTCTCTTTCTCTTCCTTTCGTTACCACTCTCCGACGCGCTGATTCACGACGAAGATATCGTAGCGCAAGCGCGTTGCGAGTCGGTTGATCTATATATAATTGTGCCATATTAATTTCTTGTAATTAATATATTACGGAATTACGTATAAAAACGCTTTCACAACGGTGTACGAAGCTTACCATTCATCTTACCTGTTTTTCAGCATTTTGGTCCTCTTCGTCGTTGTAACGGTATCGTTGGTGTTGCGAGATGACAATTTTGCGACGTAGGAAACGTAAAAGGAGAAAGGTCACATTTTCTGTTGTCGTCGTTAGAAGAGTAACAAAAAGTCCTTTTTTTTCTTTCTTTAGCAAGATTTATTCTTTTTCTCAAGAATTTGTCCACAAACTTTATCTATCGAATTGTCGTGTAATTAAGACATGATACTGAGACACGGAGCGGGTACGATATAAAAATCTCCATGCGACACGAATTAATAGAGAAAGTTAGGGAAAGTCGGTCTTCACTTAAATCTACACAGTCGATCGCGGTAAACGAATCTTACGAGCTACGCTTATACATATGAAGAAAAAATTACAAGTTCAACCTATCGATGCGGAACTCACAATCGTCCTTCGCCGGGTAGACGCTCCTCACGGTCTCCTTGTCGTCGCTCTCGCCGAGCAGGTTCAATTCGTTGATGTCCGTCGCGAAAGACTGAGGTATGACGTCGTCGACGTCCACAGAGTCGGATTCGCTCGCAGACACGACCCGGTCGGGCTCGCAGCGATTCACGGTCTCTCGCACGACGATCGACGGCAACAGGTCGTCTGCGGGTAATTCGGAATAACCGATCGAACGAAATCCACCGATCTCGGCGTCGAGCGCGACGCCGCGGGAACGCTTACCAGTCTCCTCCGTCTTCTTCTTGGCCACGGTGGCGCTCTGCTCCTTCACCAGCATGTCCGCCGCCAGCTGGATGCTGTAGAGTATCTCCGGTATGCCAGTGTTGTCGCGGGGCGAACATAACCGCAAGTAACCGATACCGTGGATCGTCTTCACGAGCTTCCGCAGGTCGCGCGGCACCCGGAACATCTTGAAGAGACGCGCCTCCTCCGGGATATCTTCCGTGTCGCAGTACGGCAAGTGTAGCGCGTAGTAGCGCTTGTTCCGCTGCGGGTAGTTCTCCTTCAGCAACCGCAGCAGGTGCTTGTCCACATTGCGGTACACGTTCGGGTAGGAGGACGGCGTGGATGGCGGCGAGGTCGCGACTAGAACGACGTCCGCGGCTCGAAACGCCATGTTGCACCAGATCCCCGGATCCTACGACAGTATTTTGCGGAATCACTCGTGATGGAATACTCGTGTCTACAGGTTTGTTCTCTGTAACCGCACTAAGGCCGGTACTCATAATCGGACCTTACATTTAAGATCATCTTAAGTTCAGGCGCTATACGAATGATTTTATTAGCTACGAAGTATCTGAAGAAGAACTTAAGACGACCTTAGATATAAGATCGGACTATAAATATTGGCCTAAGTTACACTGTCTACACTTAAGGCTTCTGGCTCCTCAAATTGGCTCCTGCAGAATACGTTGAAATAAAAGGATATATCCGTAAAATGACTCTTACAATCGATCGAGTAAATCTTGTAAAATAGTCCAGACACTTCCCTTTTGTTCGACAACCAATAAAAAGCCGTAAAATTAATGTGACATGCAAAATTCCTCTTTAACCTACTTTCTCTCAGAATTTTCTTATATTAATTTTATGGCGATTTATTAATTGCTCGAGTAAAACGTTTGGACTATTTTACGGATCTTCTCGATCGACTGCGAATATCATTTTGTAAACATATCATTTTATTTCAACGTATTTTGCAAAAATTCTTAACGTGTTTTTTTTCGCTCTTCTAACGTCATAAGTGAAGATGGAGAAGAAATCAGCCGCGAGAGAAATTAGAAGTCTTAAAATAGAGAAATGTCCGACACTTGAGGGGAGAGAGAAGCAAATAGAAAGATTACGAGATAGTTCAAGAAATGCAACTATAAAGACCTTATATATCAACGGTAACGACGCCGTTCGCCCGATTACTCACTTGACTGGCGATATCGCGGATGTTAAGTATGTCGATCATAGCGTTGATGTTGCAGCATTGCAAGTACTTGGTGAGCTCCTCCATCACCTGCACGTGCGCCACATGCGTCGGCGAATAAATCAACAGGCAATTCGGCCTTCTCGATATGCCCCTTAGGACTGTCAAAAAACTCGTGTTAAAAGGAACGACAATTAATCCACGGTTATATTATCGGATCTTTGTAAGGGAAAAAGAATAAAGATAAGAGTCTCACCTCGCTTGCGATGGAGCTTGAACGCGTGGTAGAGCGCGTACAGAAGCACAGGCGGTATCCATATCATGCTGATTATCATGATTAGCAGTCGGTCGGACGCATATTCTGAGAACATGAGACATCGAAGAACAACGTTGAGAGAGAAAAAGAAAGAGAATCTAAAGGTAACACTGTGAGAAAAAATGATTGATCTAACTAAAACTATAGTTATTTTTTATCCCAACTATGCTTGGCTTTTTTGCTTGTTTAATACGAAGATGATTATTATCGTCGACATCATAGTAGAATTTAATTAAAAAATTAGCTTTCCTGACCACGATTTGTAGTAATTATCTTTCTGTGTGGTTATAGTTTACAATATGAAACATCTTTCTCTCAGTATAAAAGAATCAGTACTAGAATCGTATTTACTTATTTGTATGAACGGGGACGTGCTGTTCACGCAGCCGTATTCACCGCAGTCGGGGTGCAAGGCCGCCACCTTGACGTAGTACAAGCCGTCGGGCGCGCTGAAGTTGTGCCGTATGTGTCCCCCGTTCTCGTTCGCAGGTAGGGTCGTGCAGCTCGTCGACTCGGTCTCGTTGTGGATCAGGCACGCTCGGTACCTGGTGATGTTGTAACTCGCCGGGAGCGGCTGCACGTACAGCGCCAGACTCGCCGACTCCGACACGTCCACGTAGAAGAAAGGCGTGTATTCGTCGAGCGCGACACCGTCCGCTGGAAGATCCGTGAAATGATTAACGAGACGATTAGCTCATGACGGTCGCGACGCGGCCAAGATTCGCCGAGACCCACCGATATGTGTATGCTGCGGCACGTAGAAGACGTATTTCTTGTTGTACGCGAAATTTTTGCCGACCACAGCGTACTCCAGGCGATACGGTAAGCCCTCGTATATATCTTCGGAGAACGGGCACGACACGTACAGATGTTTGGGCGCGGGGTGCCTGGAGTTATCGGGCACTCTCACAACTCGGCACGCGCTCACTCCTTCGTTCGGATACTGTGCATTGTGTTTGGGTACGATGTACTGATAACGCGTAAATAACCCTGTTTCGCAATATGGATATTTTAGTACACGATACGATGTCGATACTCGCCAGCGTTGATCTCTTAAGAAAATAAGAAAGAAAGAAAAAGAAAATGAGAGAGACACTTGCTAGATATTATTACTCGCACATCGTTATGTCTGGACATTTTAAAGGAGTACTATCTCACATATTATTTTGCTATATTTTTGTGTGTTTCTATATGTATGTGTAAAAACTTTTTCGTTTTTTCTTTTATCTTTCATAAATGTTATTCGTTAAACAGGAAACCAGACGTATTGCATCAGACGAGCAATTTATCATGAATATAAATAAATAAATGCAATTTTATGCTTTTATGCTGCAAATGTTCCGCACTATCTGAATGATATTTAAAATATTGCTGCTGTCTCCTCGAATAATCAATAGCGATGAGAGAGATGCACGAATAGTCAGACGCGATTGAACATTTCTAGTGATTCTACATTTAAAATAAGTTTCAAGAGATCAACGCGCTGAAGAGTATATTGATAGAGAAAGCATATTATGGATAATTATTAATGGGTATTAATCCATCAACATATATATTAATAGAGAAACCTATTTAATAGGTCTGGTTTGTTTTGATCAGACGATCGAGTAATCTCGCGATGCGATTTCATGTAAGCTTACTGTGGAAGTTGATGTCTGAGACGGATAAATTGAAGGCGGTCGCTCTTTCGGAATTCCCGAAGTCTTTGATGTACACGGACAGCGTGAAAATCGCGGTGTCGCCGCGCTCGGACGACGTCTCGCCGGCGTCCTCGAACTTGAAATTCGCGCAATCTGAAAAATCGTGCGACCATCAACCGTGTCTCATTTGCGAGATCCTCGCTAAGTTATTGATGACCGATATTTTTCCTACCTTCATTCTTTTGCACTGAAGTCAATAGACACTGGTGGTCCAATGTATATAGCTCAGTTTCATTCTAAAAAATAAAAAAGAGAAAAAGAATAGAGAAGAGTAAAATTATCGTATGTACGAGAAGTGTTATGTCGTTCCGAGTACGATATATTTGCAATCAATCGCATCGCACTGAAGTGGAAAACGATCGGATGATTGATAAAATGTTAATTTTAACTTTAAACTCGTTTATTTATCAGCCACTCGCGCACTGTCGCCTGTTATTGTTCATAGCAATCACAGATAAACAATGATGTGTGTGAAACATTAGTCACGCGTGTACCGAGAATAGCGGATTCATGAGTAATTCGCGCATATTATCGTGAAACCTCCGACAGTCCAAATTGTACACGAAAATGTTATCGTATTGCGCTACAACACCTGGGTGTAGTCTCTTATCAGCCTCTAGCGCTCCGCTATTGATTGAATATCAACACACACGGAAAGATTTTTCCATTCATTTTCTTTCTCTCATACACAAAGGACCTGCGGAAATTCGAAGAATCCCCAGCTTGACACTTCGTGGAAAACAATACAATAAGAACTGATCTTCAGCAATAAAAATTGACAGAGATAACGAGCTTGGAGCGATAACTCGAGATAGGATCGACCTAAATCTATCTCCAACGGATTTTTATATCGCAACTCGAATGGAATGTCGCGCGTCTGGAACGCGTAACCTGGAACATCCTGTACACACGCCCGTCACAACGCTCCCGGGTAATCCATACACTGTCAGAGCAAGAATGAGGAAGCACTCACCGCCACGTTCTTACAGTAGTCCGGATAACAAGGCAATTCCAACGCGGTGCGTTCGCCCAGGAGGCACAGAACGAACGCGAGGACGCGGTGGATCTTCTCCTCGCGCATTTTTAGGTTACCCTTTATTTCGCGGAATGTGACATTCGGCAGACGGCGCACGTCGTCGACCTGGACATCGTAGACGGGCTTGACGGCCGGCCACCACCGAATCAACTTCGCTCTGTGGTCCTTCAAATAATCCGCGTAACGTCGATATGTCACTTGGAGGACGCGCGACTGCACGCACGGCAGACACAACGCAATACAACGTGGAGCCGAGGAACACTCCGGACACTCTTGTCGAAGCAACTCGAAGCACACTGCTGACAGTCAAACGCCACGGAGACCCTGTTGGGGACGACAGGTACTGCGTACGCAGCAAACCGTCGGCAAGAAGAATCTCTGCCTTGCGGGTCGGCGGTGATACGATGTTACCTCTGTCAGACCACCGACGAGGTACTATAAAAGACCGTCGGTCTTACGGGCTTTAGCGACCCCGAGAAATCTGACCGTACATTTTTATATTTCACCTTTTTTTAATCTTATATTCTTACTGTTATCCTACTTACATCGTCTTGTCTCTTTCTACGTCTGTCAATACGATTTTGGCATAAGTCTAGTACTATAGGTCGATACATGTACTCTTACGAAAAAAATACGAAAAAACCCTCAATTTTGGGTGTAAACACCCAAAAACTGGAGATAAACACGTAAATTTGAATGTTAACACCCAAAATTGAGGGTTTTTTCGTTTTTTTTTTCGTAAGGGTAGTCACACGACAGACAAAAGTGTCTTTGTATGAAAAACGATCGGTATTGTCATCATTCTTCAATTACCTTCGGGCCCCTCCGGGCCCTTTGGCGGGGTCGAAAATTTATCTAGGGCTGACAGTCTTTAATAATATCTCGTCGGTGGTCAGACTGACGATCAAAAAAGTGCCATAAATTGCAAAGGGAGAGAAAAGACGAAGAGGTAAGTTGCTATTGAAATTAGTGTGTTATAAGTAAGATTGGACGCTTACATATTAATTATAATACTTTACGTCTACACACACAAAAATATTATTCTACTGCTGAAAAAAACGATTGGTCGATTAGTTTTCCTTCTTTTAAGTCATAGTCATCTGTGTGTTTGTAGAAAACGTAAACTATTATCTATATAGACAATGAATAATATTTGGATGTCATTTTAGAACATATGTCGTTTAATATATATCATATTTAATATAATATATTCACAAAGCGCTTATCAGTATTTCTTTTAATGTAAACTTCGCAGAGCATTGTAAATTATTAAAAAAATATATATATACATATATCCATGAAGATTTCTACGCCGTTAACAAAAAAATATATATTTTAAAATGACATCATAAACAAAAATATATTTTTTTAAAATGACACTAATTTAAGCAAGGTCGTTGCGCGGGAATGAAATAAAAAATATCCTGCTGGCAGGATACGCATCGCTTTGATGAAATTTCAATAACATCGTAGAGGAAAGCGTTGAGTGAAAATAACAGCGATATAATTGCAGGTTACTCGCGGCGATCGACTGCAAGATACCAGCAACATACCTTTGACTCGATTGATAATTCGATCGCGGAAAATTAGATACACCACAATCACGTTAATGAACGTGACACGCAGCAGTACCGGTTATTTAAATAACAAAATCGCGCTACATGCGTCGCGAATACGTACAGAAGGCTGCACGGTTTCATAAACATTCGCATGAACGTCATACCTCTGAGATAAGGCGATATTTATTCTCTCGTTGCAAACACACAGTGCGGTTACAAACACTTATGATTACTCGCAGTTGCAACACACAATTGCGATCTTACAATTTTTCACGTAGCGCGTCCTTAGAAGCCGTTATCGGACATGATGTTGCGGAACTATCCCCTCCGGCGGTTGCTTGAAATTGATGTCGATCGATCTCGATCGTGACTGAGATTTCATGCTTTGAGGTTTCCATTGCCGTCTCCGGCACAAATGTCGACTCGCTACCGCGAAGCAGTGTCGCGACATGGTGCGTGGCGCACCGTGTCCTCTTATCTAACGTCCCCGCGTCGAGTCGCGATGACATCGGTCGCGAGAGCCGACGCAATTTTCTCGACAAGAGGTGGGATGTAATTAAAAGTTTCTTGCACTCGTGCGCGTGCAGCAAGATTCGTGCGGACGATGTTGTCGATGCGGCGAATTCATAACCAGTCCCAGCTGCACGCACCAGATAACTTCGCCATTTCTTCGCACGATATCTCGCGAACGTGCGCGCGACACGCTACGAAAGCGTTTCTCGGCGGCCGGCCGGAGGAAGAATTCGCGAAGCGAAGCGCGATGCTGCTCTCTCGATCCGCAGATATTAGAGACTCGAGAACAGTTTCGCTCTTTTGATCCTGCTTCTCGATGTGCGTGTCAAGATACACGCCAAAATACACGCTAGGCAATGATCTTAAACCCTTCCCGGCCGTGTTATCCTCGACATTCCTCTCCAGATCTACAGAAATTCAATCATTTTGTGCTCAACATCATGCGACAACATCATGTGCTCTTCGCGTCTACTTCAATGTCTGGGTACCCAACTAATGCAGCAACGTATTTAGTAATATATTTATATCGAATATAATAGTAATGTATAAGAATTGACTCATGAGATCCATTGGAACGCAACGTGGTATCTATTCGACACAGGAGAGTAGGAGAGTAGAAAGGGTTAACATCCACATCGGGTGGAAGAGAAGGATAAAGATCAAAGACTCAAGCCAGGTCAACGACGACCGGTCGCGGGGTGCGTTAAGATGAAGATAGAAGCTGCACGCCGCGGCGATCCTTCTTACTGAGCAACTTTGGCCGCCTTGTCGGTCGGGTCGAAGTGCTTCCGCAGGTCCTGCCAGCATTCGTAATACTGGTCGTCCAGCTTGTTGCAGATCTTGTCAGCCCATTCCGTCACTGCCAAGCTGTACGAACTCTCGAACATGAAGGCTTGCGTGCCATCGGCGATTCTCTCCGGCAGCAGCTCGGCCTTGGACGCGGCCTCGAAGCAGCGTGTGTCGGGCCCGTGCGGGGTCATCATAGAATGCAGAGTCGCGCCGCCAGCTTGGAAGCCTTCCTCTTTCGCCTCGTAACGACCCTTTATCAGCCCCATGAACTCGCTCATGCAATTGCCTGGGAATCGGACAGTGAAATCTGTTATGTTCACTCCTTCCTTTCTTCTTTTCTTTCAATGACTCAACACTAGAACTACCAATGCAGTATAAATAACGAGTTTGTAATCTATATAATAGAATGTCCGTCTGTATGTTTCTTACATACTCGTAAATCCTTCAACCGAACTGAATCAAGTTGTGCATTACTTACCAAAATGGAAAATAGAAAAAATATAAGCTATCACGAAACCTGGATCTACTAGCTGATTTATTTGGACTCGCTCGTCAAAAACCCCAAAAGACGATGACATAATAGTCGATAAATTATCATACACTAGCACGGCGCTGAAACGCGGATAATATCTTTCTGAACAATAATGTAAAAAGTGGACACAGCGGATTAGCATGAATATTAATTAATTAAATTAAAATAATGCTGTCTCGTATCTACGACAGAAAAAGACACAGATACGGAATGATGAACAAGGAAAACGCCGAGAATAAACTCGAATCATCGTGCCGGGCGTAGCTTTCTGGCATAAATTAGTCTAACTAGCCGTGTCTCGAAAGAAGTCACTACCGAATCGTTAATACAGCGGCTATGTAAATGAACCCCACGAGATATTCACATCGAGGCGAAAAAAACAAAAAAGAGATCTTCAACGTATCGCGTGGAGGCTCGTCGATCCGGACCGCGGCCACCTATAAATAACGGCAACGATTCGCTCTCATAAATAAACAACAGATCTATCCGACAAAAAATACTCGCAAAATGTCGACGGGTGTCGATAGTCGTCGAATAAGTCATTTGCCAACGGTAGCGATCGGTCAGTTAACATTGATTTCCCATCGCTGGTCGGCATTGTCGACACGCGAGAGGATACAGAAGCCCCGTTTACGGCCACACGCCATAGGATACGCAAAAACGCAGTTCGCGAATCACATCGCGAGTGTCTATTGAACGCAAAAATGGTACGTAGTATAAAAGGTGCCTATTTATTATTTGATATTTGTATCTGTCAATCATTTTTCGTGTGCTCTTCGCGTCTACTTCAATATTTGGATACCCAACTGATTTAGTAGCAGCAACGTATTTAGTAATGTATATTTACTTATATTGAATATAGTAGTAATGTATAAGAATTGACTCATGAGATCGATTGGAACGCAACGCGTTATCTACTCGACACAGGAGAGTAAAGAGTTCATCCACATCAGGTGGAAGAGAAGGAAATTATTTTTCATTATGGTGCATCAACGTGTTCTTTCTCCAATATACACTTACGCTCATCAACTACTTTTACTACAAGGCTCATTCTACAATAGCCGTAAGAGTATGCAATAAGATGTAAGTAGTAAGCTAATTAATGGGATTTTTATAGCCTAAGAATAATTGGCTATGATCGATCAATTTGCTTGCTGCTTACGCCTTATTGCAAACACACGACTACTGTAGAATATGTAGAAGCACGCAAAAGTTCGAGTTGAATCAACTCGTCGCGTGAAACGCGAGTGCGACTGCGAGTGCCGCGATCCACTAGACGCTGCAAGAGTTTTGAAGCGCTTAAAGAAAAGCCACTATTGGTCTATACGGCACATAGACCATAGCGTTTGCAGCGTCTAATGGATCGCTTCCTACGTGTGCCTGCGTCATGAGTTAATACTTCATCTTGCGAGCTAAACGCGGCCGTCATTGTGCCGGTTCGCGATCGCGCAACACGAGACGCGATCTGCAATGGAAATCTTGCGAGCGCGTTTTGCATATTATCGCTCTCCACGCGCCGCCGATTTATTCATTAACGTGGAGAATGGTCCGCATTGGATATGCACGCCGCACTATGCTGGTTATCAAATCTCGGAGAAAGCAGCGAGCGGCCACTCTTACTGGCGCTCGGACGAATTTCCTCGAGATACGCATTGTGCGTCGGGCAGTTTCATTTATCGGCGAGGTGGGCTGCGAACGAGATCGACGCGATGTCGTAGGAGAAACGCGGGAGAAAAGAAGAAGAGAAATAAAAGCCGAGAGAGGAATAAATATCGCGCAGACACGACAAGAAGAAACTCAGCGGCAATTCTGCGCGCGTAGGATAGAATTTTTCAGCGATTTTTTTTTAATTATTCACGCTCTCAACAATAGGATATCATTATCTCGCGAGGGAAAATGTAATTTTTGATAATTAACGATTTCACGCGATTTTGTTACGCGTTGTGCGTTGCGCGGCTTGTCGGCGAGAAGTGGATTCGTATGCTGAGAGAAGAAATATCTAAGAAATAAGAAATAAGTATTTAGTACTAACAGCATGTTTATTTAAGCCAATATAAAATATCTTTCTAAAAATGGGGAATATTCATTTTCTTAAAATCTTAGCTTTCTATAAAAGTAATTATTGATTCTATTTAACGCGCGTGTTCGCTACCAGCATCACACATGTGACGCACTGATCTTTCACCTCAAGTTCATATTTACTCAAAATATTCAATTTTACTTAATTATAACGTGTTTGCTAACGTCATATGTGCACGACAACGATATTTTTCTTTGTATATTAATAAACCAAGTGTGTATTACATTTACAATTACATGAAAACAGATGTAATGTGGTTTATAGAAAGAATTCTCCAAATTTACAATTATATGAAAACAGATGTAATGTGGTCTGTAGAAAAAATTCTCCAAATAAACTATAATAGCGAACAGACCGTGTCAAATGAAATAATTTAGATCAAAATAAATATTGGTTATTATTGAATGAATATTTTCTATTTTCTATTTTATATCTTTTTCGTCGTGTAATAATGATGTATACAAACGAGATCAACGCGACGACGATGTCTCAGAAGAGAAAAGGGAGGAAAAGAGAGGAAGTAAAAGTCGAGAGAAATGTGTAGTTAAGTGATAAAGATTTGCGCGATAAAATAACCGGATGTCGCGTGTAGAGGAGAATTGATGACAATTTTGTAATAAATTCATCTTTCCGACAGCAGAAAATGATAACTCACGCGATCAAGTAATTCCTAGTAATTCGTCGATCTCGCGTTAATCATCGAATAAATATTCAGCGATCTCGCTCGCGCTTTCGACGTTAAACGACAGCAAAAAAACGACTAGTGGCTCCGCTTATTTGCAGCGGCCCATATAAGGCAGTGGTCGGCCGCTATTTTTAATGATCACCCGATTAGCCAGCATTTAATTTTACGATCGGAAAGCACAGCGACGCATCGCGTCGCGTTTAGCCGACTGTCACAGTTACCCCGATCGATCCTGTAATTTCGCGGACGTGCGATTTCTACGCAACGGGACATATTCAGGACTGCGACGGTGACCGCCCCTCTCGTAGCTTCCAATTACTTAACTCGTAAGGATGCGTTCGTCGATAGGCATCGCGCGTCTTTCTCCTCGCACGCGACGTACTTTCCCAACGAGAGCGCATAATACGACGAGCACAACGAACGGCCGCATCCACGACCGCGGCCACGACGACGCGACCAGCAGGAGGACGAGCGCGAACGAAAGTGCCCGTCCCGTGTCTCATAATCGATCGGATCGTCATCGAGGTAGGAAATTGGTGAAACGACCCGCCGGAGAAAGAGACATTGTTGTGGCCGGTCGGCGGGAAAAATTTCGAGTTTTCTCCGTGCCCGGCTCAGTTGCACAATTTTCAGGTGCGCTCTTCCGGAACGAAGACGCCACCGTGGAGCTCGAGACGGAACGCTAGCTCGAGCCAGCTGTGTATAATCGACCCCCCCGATGAGAAGAAAAAAAACCGAAGGTTTCGCAATTTCTCGGGAACGTAGCGTGTCCGGTAAATACGTCGTCGATTGACGACTGAGCATCGATGCTGTATATTGCGTACAGATACTCGTTATTTTTCTAATATTCCTCCCGGTTCGAGCTATACTTTTTTCTCCAAACAGGCATCTTTCTTGCACCATTAAAAATTTCAATGTGATGACATCATGACAGTAAGGTAAAACGTCCAATAACCGACATTTTGTCAATTTTTGGCACTCTTGTGTGGGTTCTATCATCATTTCATCCTATTCCCCATCATATTTACGTAAAAAATTCACGTTAAGAATTACAATTTGATTAGAAAGTTATCCCATGATCCTGATGTCATATCTGATACGTATAAGATGACGTTATCAAATGCTATAAATATTAATAATCCTTATTATTCATAAGGTCAACCACGCTGCTTTACATGACTTATCACATATAAAGAAAATTAGCACCAGGAATCTGTGTGTGATAGCTAAATTTCGTTGTAGCATACTCAAAGATACACGAAGAAAATATTGTAATAAAAATTACGTTAAAATTATTTTCTTTTATAATGTTTTTGTAAAGCTTTTTGTAGTATTTTTATAATATTTTTTGTAATTGATAATCCATCCTGATATAGGATATAAAAAACATTAAAGTAATTACAATAATTTTGTAGTAAGAAATCAAACGTATAACATTTTCAAATACATAGTAACTTTGTTTATAATTCTGTATGATCCAAGATTACAAAAATTTTATTGTAATTTTTACTACAATATTTTCTCCGTACACAGGCGCCAGTAGGCCTATCTAGCTATGAAATCGATGCAGTAGCTACGGTAACAAAAGTTTCATTTACAGCGCAACAAATACATTTCTAGCAAATCATGAATAGCCGCAATAGTGAAATCTTATTTTTCCGTGCAGGGCCCGATATAATATCGCATTAAACGAAGCAAATAACTGACTGAGATCAGGACCATAGGATAAATTTCCAGTCGAAAGTGCCGAGCATCCTCGATACTCATATCTTCGTATCAACATACACTTGCGATAATTAACCACGACCGTAGAATATACTTTCTACTTACGATGATAGTAAGGGGGTCGGAAAGTGTGCTCTTGCACGGACCAACGGGGTGGAAAGATCACAAAGTCGGCCGCGGCGGTTCCAGGCTTGTTAGTGGGGCACGTCAGCACAGTGAAGATGGACGGATCCTGCGGAATTAATTGAGTCATTTAGCGCGAGAGCGTCACGCTCGAATTCACCGACCTTTCTCTCCGAGTTGACTCTCGGTCGGGAGAGTCCTCACACACGCGATCTCCCGTCCCGATCCGCAGATTAACGGATTACGTTTGCCGCGCTCAAACGAATCGATCGATCGGTCTTTCAACTAACGTGAAACTCGAAACTTTCCGGATGACTCGTCGAATCGAGATCGCGGAGGAAAGAGGAATCGCCCGGGGGCTGCGTCACGAGGATATCCAAGAGGACTATCGAGGGAGGGAAGAGGACGGGGGGAGAGGGAAACCTCCCGCGCACCAATGAGGATAATATCGAGACGCTCGAAACTTCTTCTTCCGTAAATTACAGGCTGGCCGCTCTAATGAGGAGGTATACTCACGCAGTGATCAAAGGAGACAGAGTTGACGACCATGAATGCATCGAGATTGTACTTGTAAGGTACGTAATTGCCGTGCCACGCGACCACGTTGAAGGGACTGCAACCTTGGCTGGCCACGAACAGCTTTCCCTGATATTTGCATACGATCTCATAATCGATCTCACGATCCTCGTACCATGCGACCGGCGTTTGGAAGTCTCTCGGGTTCGCCAAGCCGTTCGCACCTGCGCGTGATCTCCGCTCATTAAGTCGTTTATTAAGGAAATATCGATTTAGTCTTCGAGAAAAAGACACTTAACTTCTTAGTAGCAATACAGCGATAGTTGAAAAGAAAAGAAGAAATATTGACGCTGATGAGGTATCCGCATAAATTCTCTGAGGTTTCTAAAGAAGCGGATGCAAAAGGAACAAAGCAAAGCAAAGTTTTCGGCCCTTCGATCAAGATCGATCGATGAAGTACCTATTGGTCCCAGTTCCGGTAATCGGAAGTGATTGTCAAAGACCTCGAGGATGTATCCCCTGGATGGTCCAAAGACAGTGACGGAAAATCGCATGCCTTGCTGAATCACGCAAATCTCGTTCGGCTCGCATCGAATCTTGCCGAACTCGGTAGTGATCTGCAGAACGCCCAACTGCGGGACTGCAATCGCGAGGGACGAATTTCACTCACACATCCTTCTTTTTTCCTTCCTTTTTTTAAAGAAAAACCTTTTGCTACTTACCGATGAGGAAATCGCCGTCGGCGTTGTAGAAAGCCCTATCCTTCATCGACGCGTTGCAGAGGTACACGTGCACCGCGATACCCTGGCGCGTTCTGGGGTCACCAGCACCGCACAAGGTATGAAGACCTTCGACGAAGTCGACCTCGGGATCTCGTCGAGTAGGAACGTCGAATGTTTTCCATCTTAACTGAGAAGCGAAAGCGGTCAGCTTTGGGCGAATCGAGGTAAGCTTTGCTGAATCGCGACTTCGCTAAATCGACGCGATGATATCTCAGGAGAGACCAGCGTCACATACGTGTAATTTATCATTTTTCAATGTATAATTTTATTACACTTTTTAACTCCTTAAGTGGCATATCCGGGAAAGTTCTACGGCAAAATATTAAATTCCTCTTGATTTACTTCAACTTTTTTTTTAACTCACAGCAAGTACACGTTAGATATATTTTGTATTGTATTTTTCACAATTTTTTAAAGCAAATAGCAATGAAGGGAAAATAAATCTAGATATACTTATTTAAAAGAAAAATCCGCTCTGTAGTGGGAATCACGCAGTCATTTTAAATCATCACTGAAGAGATTATAATTATTACAATTTTTTAAATTAATGTATTTAATGTGTAATTCTTTTATGTCAATATTATAGAATGAAGTTTACTTTACGCAATTACGTAAAAAAAAGACAAAAATACGAGGTAGTCTGTGGAGGAAATTCTCCAAATAAATCGTAGTAATAAACGTGTTAAACTTGAGGCGTTGGAAAGTATACGCACAAGCCGCTGTTAGACTCCAAAATCTCGGACTCGACGGGCGCATTTACCTGATTAGGATTTGGATGAATCCTGTTCCAATCGTTGGTTAAGTAAGATTCGATATCGTGCATTTTGGTAAAAGGTTTGAACATTTTGTGAACGCAGGATGGTCTCATCCGATAGAGCCACGATCTTTTGTTTTCAGCACGTGGAGCTGAGGAACAAAATCAAAATAATTAATTTTATTATATTAGATGCAATTTTGAATTTTAAGTCTCTCTTCCACTGTGCGTCATAATGTTATTATTATAAATTCACGAACTCAGCGAACAGTTACTACAAATCGACGATAGCATTCTCGCGAGTCATTTATCAAAATCTGTCGGGAGATAAGCACGAGAGTCACCATAGATCTCTGATTATACGCGAAAAACAAGTTTAACTCGTTTGAAACTAATTCTCTCGTTATTTCGAAATTCCAAAAGCGTATCTTCGATCTATTGACGTGTAACTGGCTAATTTCAAAGCCATACTGAAGATGCATAAGAAACTAAACTGGAGTATTATGATTTGAAACGTAGAAGCCTTTTGAAGGACGTAACTTCTGAATTTCTGGAAGAAATCCTGATAACATATTTTCGATTAACTAACGTCGAATTTACTAAGTTTAAACTAAAGACACACTGAAAACTAAGCTAGAACGTCGTGATTTGAAATGTAGAACTCCTTCAGAGCGCAAAGCAACATTCGAGAGAAATTTTACAATAGTATATTTGCAAGTATATTTGGTTCATTGACGTGTAACTCGCGATTTTGTTAATTTAAATTGAAGACACACGAAAAACTAAGCTGGAAATATCGTAATTCGAAACGTAAAGATCTTTTGGGACGCAAAATAACTTTCAAAGAGAATTCTGGTAGTGTATTTTCGATTGACCGAACCCGTTGATTTTGTTAATTTGAGCTAAAGATACTTGGAAACTCAAACTGTTGCGCCGTGATTTATAGACCTTTAAGAACGCGAGATAAGTTCGGAGACACGAATCGAGTGGAATTCCTAAGGTATCAGGCGAACGAAGCGCGCATGAGACTCTCACTTACCGGTGAACGCCGTTCCCGACAATTGCTCGGCGTAAAGACCATATGGACACTTCTGCGGATTGTTCTGCCTAACGGGTAGTGCTCCTGGACAGCGCTCATCCTCGCTGGAGAATTCGCAGCCGAATCCCGTGAGATACTAACAAAAGACACGCGGTTACTTGGCGATGTTTTCCCTTGGATATGTCACCTTCGTCGCGCCTTAAGCCCAATGCACCGAATCACGACGCGAAATATTCTCGAATGCTCTCAGAATTTTCACACGACTGACGATATATCGTTCAAAACGCGTTCAAAACGCGAGAGCACCGTCTCGGTTTCTAAAAGAGATCGCTTTCGGGCGACTCGGGCCAGGAGAACATTCGCGAAACAACGCTCCGTGTCCACGAGACGCGAAAGATCCTTGCGATTTGAGATCGCTTGCTTTCAAGAAAAAAAGAAAGAAAAGAATGTACAAGATCTAATCTTCAAAATAACAGCTCCGCTACCTTAAACTCGTCTTTCATGATGCGGCTGATGGCTCGGAGCACGCCGATGTCTTTTCCTGACACGGAGGAAATACGGAGGTTTCAGTGGCGTCCCCCGTTTTATACAAACGGGGGGGACCGTGGTTGTCCTCAGACTACGCAATGACGACGAGATTGTTATTATGCAAAAAACATGTTTACGCTCGCGGACCAATCGGCTGCGAGTAATCGTAGGCACGACTTCGTTAACAGGCACGGCTGGTTGATAGTCAGATAGCCAGTCAGAGAGCCAGAAATTCCACATCACACTACGGAATTTATCACCAGAGCCTATCCTGAGACGAGCCCCTCGTAACAGCGCGTCGAATAGACGACTGGCTGATCTTCGTCACGAGCATCTCGTCGTTCTGTGACCCAAAAAGTCGTCCGGGTCCGGTTACCGAGGAGCCCTGGCTCGACATCGGCTCGAAAAATTTCCAAATTACGAAGATATTCATATCAGTTCATCACGTCGTTATCTCTCACGGCGACGACGACGGCGACGTTTCCGTAGGTGACTCGCTGCTCGTAAGATTATTTCAATACTCTCGACACTCTTTCTGACTTATTTTTATTCTTTTTAGAAGACGAAAAGGTCTCATATGCGTTCCGTCGCAAACACTTTTAGACTAATGATGCGTAAATCTATTACTTATAAGCAACACAAATACTGGTAATTTTTATTCTGTTTGTCATAACACTCGCGCGCATTTTTGACGGAGATTTATGGCAAAGGTGTGTTTCACGCCTCTGACGTGTGTTGATCGAGGTTCAATTTGAAGATTTGCAAACTCGGTTACTGCTCAATGCCATATCGTAGCTTGTACACGACTTGTGTGTTTGCGTAAGTATGTCTTGTATGTAAATATGTCTTATATGTAAGTATATCTTCTTTTTTTCTTTTTCAACATTCATATCACGCCACTTACAAGGTAATTGTATCATTCTTGGGCGGGGAGAGATAAGGCAGAAACAAGTCACCGTCACATTATTGAATCTTGAAATTAGAAGGAAATCTAGAAGTGATCGTTTACCTTAATAAATGAATATTTACACTAATAGCTATTAATAGGAATATTCAACCTGAGAAAAAATGTTTGCTACTGGTAATTGCAATCGCATAGTGAATTATTGTGTCAGAAGAATCATTCTTTTTAGTAAGTATTACTACAACGTTAGTAATAATAATATTATACGCACGGAGAGAAAAATTTGAGTGTATTAACATGAAGTTTGGTTGTAATGAACGAATCAACGCGTTTTGATTGAAGGAAACAAATTTTTTGATTCTTAGAACCAAATGTGGGTCATAAAAACTACATACATAGAAATTCTGTCTTTCAACCAGAACGTGTCGTTCATTAAGATGAATGTCCTAATGATTGAACTAATAATAAAGCACGATCATTTTTACATTTTTACCAATAAATAATTAATATAATTAGTAAAATAATCAATGTTTATGTAAAACTTTAGTTTGTCAACAATCGTAAAATATAGTAGGAAATTAAATTATCAGATAATTTAATTTCCTACTATATTTTACGATTGCTGACAAACTAAAGTTTTACATAAACATTGATTATTTTACTAATTATATTAATTATTTATTGGTAAAAATGTAAAAATGATTGTGCTTTATTATTAGTTCAATCATTAGAACATTCATCTTAATGAACGAACCGACACGTTCTGATTGAAAGACAGAATTTCTGTGTATGTGGTTTTTATGACCCACATTTGGTTCTAAGAACCAAAAAATTTGTTTCCTTCAATAATAAATATCAGTTATAATTTTAACAAAATATTTTATAGCACCGTTATATTATATTAATAATTAAATCGAAAAATATATCATATCCTAAGTACTGAATAATACAGATTCAGTGATTGAATGTTCATTGCATAACATTATAAATAGACACAGAGATATTATATCAATTAAAGAGAAATATCTCTTAATAAGATTTCAGAAGTCCTTTCTTTTATGGAAATATTAAATACAAATAAATTATTCGTATTCCAGTTATTGGAACAATGTTCAATTACTATCGATATTTACCTTGAAATCAAACTTCACATTAATATAGTGAGAAACAAACTCTATGTCTCACAAATAAATTCTCAAGTGCACAACCAACTCTTTTTCTCCGCATGCGTATTGCTTTTCCATTAGAACAAGAAGATACAGTTGGCGCCGAAGGAGATAATTATAACTTCAACGAGATTAATTCTCATTTCTCCCCTCAATACGTTTATATTGATAAAAACAACGACATTGAAAGTAGTCGTTCTCCTTCGTCGAACGGCCCCGCCGATCGGCACTGCGCACGCATTTTCGATGCGCGCTCATCAGAAGAGATCCGATTCTGTGCATTTAATCGTTTTCACCTCGCTGGATTATCGGTTATCGCGGTAAGTTCGTTGTCCGCGAGAAAGTTTCATCGTCACGCCGAACGCGTACGCCTCGCACCTTTAGCGCAATTACACGCGAGTTTCCACCGATCGCGATCGCAACGAAGACGTTTTGTTGCGCCGTGATTGAGATGCAGCTTGACCGACGGAAAGGAAGCAGACGCTGTAACTCTGATATAGCCCACCGGGATTGTCGGATTGATCGTTATGTGTTCGTTAAACGTGACATTTCGTCTGTGATGTTTTCAGCAAATGTCACAATTTAGTTAATAATACATATTAGTTAATAATACAGGTGTCTGCGATAATTGAAATTTGCGCATTGCGTGCAAGAAAATCATGATTATACGCGGAGGCCAGAATGAATATATGCTGCGTTGTGATATATTTGCGTTCTAATTGACAATCACTTGGTATCAGCATTTCAGATGTAAAATCGCTCGGAAAACGCGGAATGCAGAAAATAACGTTCAGGCCATAAGCAAGGTATTTGCCATAATTGCGCTCCATATTCGCGACTTTCACCGCGCGGAGGATCAGTCATTTTACCGGCGACACGTAATGACGAGCCAATTGCGGCGTCTGCGGTGAGGAGGAGCTGCTGTCCGATGCGTTTGCTCTGCGAAAACGAAGAAGAAACGTCGCGCTCATCGCGCTACGAGCCGCATGAAATCAAGTCGGCGGTGCTTTTTGCGACGCAATCATTATGAGCGAGCGAGTGAGCGAGTGGAAATTGCGCGTCGATAATTAAGATGCGCGCTGAAATTTACATATGATCACGCGTTGTTTTCGTGACGGCCACGCGGATGAAAAGCAGAAATCTAATTGGCTCCTACGCGATCGTAATTGCCTGGTGTCGCGAAAAATACACCGGTCTGGTAATTTATGAGCCGCGCTTGCAGATCGTGAAAAAAAAGTCGATATATATAGAGGCGATAGAGCGTGACTCACACGATCGCGGATCGCGTTGGTCGCAAAAATGGGATAATCCGCACGTGAAAACGCCGTAAACGAAAACACTCTCCGCGGCAAATAAAGCGATATCTACGTCACAGAATTGCACTTTATTGCATTGTACATCAGCACGACGCGAATCTTCGCGCAAGCACGCCGGGAGAACAAGCATATCGACGTATTTAGTGGATTTGGCCGCAATTTATAGCGAGATGGCGAGATAAAAGATGTACTCCATGTCCGTCTGTTTATGTGTTGATTCGTCGATCAACTTGTCAAATCAACTGATCAAATGTACTTTGATTCGTTCGAATAAATTCCGACATTTCCGTGGAGCGCGACGGAAATCTCCAACGCGCTCTGCGTGTTATTGCACAACACCGCTCCGACTGGTTCGACAGAATTGATAAAAATCAACGCAACGGGGTGTCAGCCGATATAACAGGACCGACTCTGTACTCGGCAGCACCGGATTCTCGAGATTCTCCTAACGTCGACGCGGAGGGAAAAAATCTTCCATAGGGAAACATTTGAAAATAGCGCTATTGTTTGATTTTATTTTGTTTAATTTTGATTTTATTGCGCTATTATCTTGCAGCTGACGCTCTTCTATATCTCTGGAAAGAAATGTGTTCAAAAATATTGACTCAACAAAATTATGACAGTTCGAATTAGCTCTCGAGTCTAACAGACCCGAGATGTATTGTCCTAAAAATTTTCAAGATAACCTGATTGTCGATTTTGATTCTGATTAGTGTCATTCTGATCGCGGAAAATGTCGTGTCAACGTCAGGTGAGGTGTCCACGTAAGGTACGTAATGCCCACGCGTCCGTTCAATTTCACAGACGATTTAGCAGCGATCGAATACCTGGATCGATCGGTTTTTCGCGCGTAATTCTACTAAACCAGCACTTCTGACATTTCGCACAATTTCAATATATTGCAGGCAAAAAACGCGACCACCGTCGGCGACAATCTCCGAAGGGAAAGGAACTGCAAAGGAACACGCATCAATGATTTCGCAAACGGCGATGAATTGTGGCGAATCTAAGTCGACTCTAAGTAAAATCTGTCAAGATCAGTGATTACGCTAAGACTCTCTCGGGTTTCCAATCATGAAGAAACGCTAACAGACCTACCAAAGAAAATGCGGGAGCATCATTGAGAGAATAATTGCGAGAATATTATTGCCTTATTGAAAAAACTTTCGCTATTATGTTGTTACTCCCAATTTAATCCATTTTATATTAATCTTCTGTACGTACAATGTTAGGTCTGTGAGATCCGAACAAATATTCGATCGCTCACCAACTTTTGTAAAAGATTGGAGGAAATTTCAAAATAGCGCAAATCTGTTTTGCAGTTTTAAGTTTGGTAGTTCGCACTACCATTTTACAGCTGACACTTTTTTATATTTTTGGAAAAAAAATGTATCCAAAAATATTGATTTTCAACAAAGTTATATAAATTCAAAATTTTTTAGATCTTTGACAGATTGTCCTAAAAAATATAATTGTACACAGAAGGTAAATATTACCCCCTCCTATTTTTTAATTTTTAATTTCTCCTCTTTCTTAATTTTCTTCTTGTTTTAATTTTTTTTCAGTAATTCAATAATTTTTTAAATTTTATTTTTAAGTCTTTCTCAGAAATCTTAATTTTTCAATCTTTCTCTCGATTCACATCGCGCTCTCGTTGTCGTCCTCGTCGTCACGGAGGCTGCCGCAATCATGGCTGCAGGCACCTGCGAAAAAGAGACGCTACCTGGCGCCAGCGAGGCAGGTGGGGGCAGTCATTCTTTACAGTTAGACGTAGTGGGATCGAATGAAGAGGAGAGAAGAAACTTGGAGCTCGGTGGGAGATGACGATCCGAGAGAGGAAAGAGCACTGCCACCTTGCGGTGACGGCGGCTGCTCTCCTCCGTCGCCTCGCTCCAGAGGAGATTTCCTTTTGCATCATGCCAGAGAGAACTAACGGGGAACGCAGATGCTTCGCTCCCGAAGGAGAAAAAAACAGAAGAAGAAACTCGATCGACGAGCGCTTTCTAGGTCGCGCTTACTTTTCAAAGAGACGCGCGCGGCTCCTCCTCAGTATCGGTCCCGCAGCAGTGATAAAAGAGGTGCGAAGATCAACGATAACGTGCAATTAACGATAACACCTATAGTAACGGCGCGTGTTTGATATCGATACCGCTCAGTCGGTATTGAAATCGTAGACCGACTTTCCTGAATCTCTTTGACGCACCACACCGGGCGTTATGTTTTGCTTCAACATTGTAATTAGAATATAATATATGTTTAATATGGTTAATTTAAGTTGTAATTAGATACTTATGCCGCGATTTTCGAGCATTGTTGCGCCCGCATGCTTAAGCTTAGAAATCGTAGCGAATCTTAATATTATTGCACAATATAAAGCTCTGTATGCAAACTAACAACGAAAAGGTTGACACATCAATTTTGCATCTCGCAAAATGCACTTGGCATAACTCGGAACGCAATCAATTTCCGCGGCAGGCGTCATCGCGGAGAAAAACGGTGGAACGTCCTGAGAATTTCTCTCCATAAAGGACAACCGACATCCCGAGATGATCTCGTGGGCAAACTGGAGCGTGGCGGGAAAATCCGCGGGATCCGCCGGGAGTAGGGCAACGCGAGGAAAGGCAAAAGGACGACGATCCGCGGACCAAGAAGAAGGAGGAAGAGGAGGAGGAGGAGGAGGAAGAGGAGGAGGAGGAGGAGGAGGAGGCGGACAACCGCCGGAGAGGCATCATCCCTACCTCCTCGGCGGATGCGAGAAGAACAGGTGGGCTCTCGACGATCGGGCCCGACGACGACGAGAGAGTCCCGGTCTGCCGCCTCCTGCGTTCAGCACGCTGGTGAGGCACGCACCGGCGTGCACCGAGAGACGCGCCGAGAGAGAGAGACTCGCCGCGAGTTCGTTGGCCGACCGTCACCCGCGCGCCCGTTTTTCCCGATCGCTTCGTGGTGTGCTCGTTGCTGCTCTCGAAGCCGAAGGCGACCCATTCCGGATTGAATCGAGGAAAAGGGCACCTGGACCACCGGCCTGACGAACAGGCGCGAACGCGGCTCGCCTCACCTCGCCTCACCTGGTCTCGTCTCGCCTCGCCTCACCTCGCTTAGCCTCGACTCGCCGTGGCTCGCCTCGTCGACCGGAGGAAAACCCGCGCACCGGGTTCCAGTCGAGAAATCGACCCGCGTCACCCAGGCTGGCAGGCAGGTGCTAACTCGCGCGTGACTCCGGTTAGCTTCGAGTCATAGTCGCGCGCCTGCTCGCACTGGCCGGACGTGTTCACCGAGCTGGCTAGAGCCAGTGAGAGAACGCTACGTGTGGACTTGTCCAGCCAGGATTTCGGACGATTCAATCGTGGCGCGTCAATCGCGAGATCTGGACCACAAGCCGGAGGAAGCTGAAGAAGAACCTGGACATTCGCCCGAAGAGCACATATTATAGTGACTACGAAAAGGACTTTAAATCGAAGGACTCAAAAGGGCTTTGGAAAAATATTCAGCGTGGAAACTCTGACGTCTGTGATCTTGTTGGAGAAAAAATTCAAGAATTCACAACTGAATTGGCTTTTCTCTGGTTAGACTTTAAAAAAATTGAAGACTTTACTTGGAAAAATTTGCTCGAAGAGTGAACAGATTCAAGAGCGAATGTGAGCTGGTAAAAATGTGGAGGATCTGAACATATCGTTTAGAAAATTCAATATGTTTTGAATGATCCCGAATATTGATTTGAAGAGGATTCTGAGATTCTGAGAGGATTGAAAGTAACTATACTATACGTTCGAAGAATCTTTGCGCAGCGGTTTGTGTGAACAGTTTGTCTAAGACTTGGACCCGTTAGAAGAGTCTAAAGATCCGTTTGAAGAGATTCGACAGTGCACAGAGAAGTTTGGAGAACCTCTCGTGAATTTCATGGAGAGTTGGTTTCGATATTCGCGTCGGCTGGAGAGAAAACCGGGGAGTCCTCAGAATTCGTCTGGAGCACGAGGAGTGCCGGTGTACCAACGCGGAGCGGAAGTACCGTTGTCTCTGGTCGCGCCGGGGACTCGCGGATGAACGGCCTTGACGGCGCGAGCCTTGGCGGTCTGGTCCGAACTAGGACAGCGGAGCGTGCGTTCCGACAGATGAACGGAAGGATCGAGCGGAACCTTCTTCTGTCGAGCGCGGAGCTGCCTGCGAAGAGCGGTCAGGCGATCTGAGGCTTTTTAGTTTCCGGTGCGCAGCGAGGTCCGGTTTTGCATGGGTGTATACGTAAGTCAGCCGTAATACGTAAGTACCGTAATACCGCCGCGCGCATTGCGCTCCTCGCGTTCCCGCGGGGCAACATTTAGCGTTGGACTCTTCGCGATTACGAGACGCGGCTTCGAAGTAACTCTCTCGTATTGTACTTTCCTATTTAATACATTGACCACGCGAATTTTTCCACTGATTATTTCAAATTAAACCGATTGAACTAAAGGTCCAGTCACTAAAGATGCAATTTGCAATGCATGTACTCGTCAACTTATCTCATTGGCTCCCTATAATATTTGATTTGCTACACCCACCTGGTAACGTTTTATACGTAAATTAGTAAAACGCCGCGGTAGTATTACTGCGTTGGCAATATTGTAATGACCATTGCAGCAGTCAACATGTTAATGTTGAGAAATATTAAGCGCTGTGCTGCGTCATACGAATATATGAAAACATGTCGTAAAATAACAGCCGTTATTTAGCTTATTAAATGTACTTCGTCGAAGAGCTCACTAGATTGACTAGACTACTGACTAAATATTCCTGAAGAATTTTAATCTGAGAGATTTGAATGCTCTCGTTGTGTTAGAAGCTCGCAAAAGTCCATCAAATGTCCAGCCACGTTTCTTTCATCAACGAAGCCATATTTCTCTCAACAACGAAACAGTGCGTGTGACGTTCGATCAAAGTATCCGCCATCGTTATGCACCACTTTCCACCGCCTTACTGGTGTCGGTAATTATCGTTAACTTTCCGGTTCCGCGAAGTAACTTACTTCTCGTCCCAACGAAATTGCCGACGATCCGACGAACTCGCGCAAGTCATCAATGGTGAACAATGGGTCCAATGAACGTCGCGATTCAAAGTCCACCGGAATCGACTCCAACGCCAACGTCGAGCCCGCCGACGACGATGACTCGAAAGTTAGCTGTAAAATCGCCCCGCTGTAACGGAGAGCCGGCAGTTTCTATGTGCGATCCGGTTTTGCGTGCACACCTAATCGCTGCTACTTTTCACTCGTAACGAGCAGCGCACGCTCATGCGTGTAATAGCAAGTACCGGCGCATTCGCGACAGCATCTCCGCGATCTCGAAGATCGCAGTAAAAGGTCGTGGTGTCGACGAGCGTCTCAGATCACAAGCCACCGGCGAACATAGCGCACTTTCTCCGAATTCTAAATCTCTCTCGGCGAACTTAGAATCGGCTCTCGGCGCGAATCCGTCAAATTTCGCGCTCACAAACTGACAGTTCGTTCAACTCCCGCGACGTCATGGCCGATCGGCCGTGACCCGTCACTGTCATTCATCCGCCGTGAATGAGAAGAGCCGGAGGTATCGCGGATTGCATTTCGCAGCGCGGCCTTGCGCAGGTCAGTTCCATGACTGCGAGAGACTCGGTCTTTCGCCGCGTCACCTTGAACGCTGAACGAGAGCACGCCTACGAAGATAAGCGGCGCGACTCGTGCGCGGTGATAACGCAATGAGGTTAACGTGGCTCTAAAATGTAGTTATCTGCGACAACGGGTCTCGAGCTGCCTGTGTGTGTAAGATAAAAGTACTAATGCCTCCGGACACTTACCTAATCCTGCACGCTCTCATTGTTTCAGTCTTCTCTCTCTCTTAAATACGAATATTTAAACTTTCAATATAAAATACATAGGATCTGACAATTTGTTGTGTAGCCGCGTTGTATAGACAGAACTCATCAAAATTCACGCATCCCCATTTCCCACACGTAACATTTTGAGTTATTAATGTTCACGTGATTGTCTGTAATATACATCGATCCTCTTTAATTGATAACTGAAAATTTACGTGGTTATTTGCAGAATGATGGAGGACTTATTTATTCAGTTTGTGATCGCGCGTGTGTCATTTACCGATCTTCTTTAATTGATAACTCGAAATTTTGCGTAGTTGTTTGCGAAATGATAGAGGAGTTTTGCGTTCAGTTTGATGAGTTCTACCTACACACCGCTACATAACGAATTATCGCGGACACCTTGTATATACATATATTCTATATTGAAGATTCAACTACTCACGTATTTAAGGATCAAAACGGATGTCTAGAATTAGACGCGGGTCTGGAAATTGGTATTTTTATCTTACTTCTGATTATCTTTGCTTTTCAAGTTGACTTAAACAGCGTACATTTGACCAATCATCTGTCGATAACAAACGTGATGAAGATTGAAATCCGTTATAATAAGCTGACCGTTTTCATGAAGTAAATTAAAACTGGGAATTCTATAATATTTCAACATTTTAATATGCTAATCTATCCAAGCAAATATGATAAGTGTGTCAACGGAATCCAAAATCGTGGGTGTTGCTACGTAATCTAAATTTCTTCAGAAGAATAAAGTCAAGGCGAATGAACTCTATCCCTCACGTTATCTTTCGTATTCTTTCGGTCTTGTATCGTCCCCATTTTCGCCTCCTTTCCGATTCTTTAATTGCCAAAACTATTCTTCCTTTAATTTTGCACTTGCAACTCCACCTTCCTTCATTCTTTCTTCAACTACTGCGAGTCTAAAACTGACGTGGAAAATATTTTGCAAGTCAGGAGTTAAACCTGAACTCGGCAACTCAAAGTGAAGAATTTATCGTTGACTTTCTCGGAAACCCAAACACTCAACGCGAAGCATGTCCAAAACTATTTATTCGCTTTGTGCGAACACCCAAAACGGTCGCCGCGACTTTCTAATGTTCGCCCACATAGACTCACTCACTTGGATGATTTACGGTGAACATACGGGACAGCGGAGCTGTAGGGGACCTGGTAATCGCCTCAATCGACAATGAGGTAGGCATACGACCGGCGTCTCGCGCTCTGAATCCTGCGAAGCGGAGGAGTCGTCGAAAAATCCGCATAAATCCGCGTACGAACGAATTCATTTTACTCGCGTTACGTCCTTCACCCGGTTAAGCGAGGAGCGTGTCGGTGGCGCATAACGCAACGGAAGAGTACACGTCACATGGAAAGGACTCCTCGCGTGGACGGACATTTTTTCCGGGTGCTGGCCATCACGGACTGACATCGCGCTCTTGCTATTTGTCATAGTACATTTTCGTCACGGTACATTTTCGCGTTCAGCTTCCTAAAGGCCGAAATGTGTTGTCCATTTACCTCGCACGCGATGTTCTTCGTCGATGAAACGGACTGTAAAATCGTAGCTGCACATTTTCATCTGTATGGAAGAAGAAAATCTCATTTCAATGGATAGGGACTAAGGTAAAAATACCAATGATTGGACATCCTTATTGTTTCGGTTTTTAAATACCAATAATTAAATCTTCAACATAGAATATATGTATATGATCAATATATGTACATATATCTTATATTGAATTCGTAAATATTCGTAAAACCAAAACAATATTCAACGAGAATATCCAGTATTATTAATGCCTAAGCAATGATACTTTTACCTTGTTCACTGGTTTTTCAGTGAAAACACTCCTGCTCTACTATATCTTCTTGATTTTGATCAGTGGAAGTGAGATTTCACTGCAAATTCTGTAGTACACAAATTCGTTACATCATATGTTGTACGAAATCCAACTTTCTACGTTTGTGGTGATGAAGTTAACGGTTTCCATACGATCTGCGTGTGTGGTGGCACTGTTTGTGCTCGCAAATTACGTCAATAATACTAACAGTCAGTACCATTAACCGATCCTTTCAACAAGATTTTACTGATCGCAGTGCTGTACTTAAACTTCGCTTACAACTATCAGCTATAAGTGGAGTCATCAGTTACGAGTGCAGCATTTGAATGAGTGCTTTAAAAATTTAACAAAGATTATACATTCTAGAAGGTACAACCGCGTCTTTTATCCCACCACCAGACAATAGAGAATTAGTTGCACGGGTCGAGGTTCTTTTTCTCCATGTGCTCAGGCATCGCATACGCGTCCACGCGTTAAAATATAATACAGACGCGCATACACGCGATTTCGAAACGTCACATTGTTTCAAGCAAGCGGTCAGACTTCACAGTCTTCATAGTCGAGAGATCAGTCGAGATGGTGAATTGTGAGAGGCGTATTTAGAGAGGAGAGGATGGTGCGACCGGAGAGATATCTGGCGCAAATTTCTCTTTTCCGCCGCGGCTCGGAAATTAGAATACACGGTCATTCAAATACCACTTTCCCCGCATGGCCGAGCCGTGCGATTTGTCACTTTTAAACGCGCGCGCGATTCCGCATCGTGAAGAAAGACGAGCCCTCCTCCTTCTCCTCCGCTTCCTCTTACGCGATCGCGCACCTCTTTCGCGTTTCCCTCTTTCGTCACACGCGACCCAATTACACCACGGGTTAAGCACATCGCGCGCACCAATTTGCATAACGACGTAAGTGCGACGGCATTAGCGTTCGCGTTAAGCAAGCCCGCCGACGGAAACGGTGTGAATTAACGCCGAGCATTTGTCTCTCATCTCGCCCGAAAAACGCCACGATCGTTGAGACCGAGATCGCGATTTCACGGAAAAAATCTATCGCAAACGTCCGCGCAGTTAATTATCGCAACGCATGGACTGTTAATTCCGATGTTATCGCGATTACGCTAATGACCTGAAGTGATGATGATATAAGAAATAACTCGCGCGCGTGCGGAAACGTCTTCTAGAAAGGCCCATCGCGGGGTTGGAAGGGGGGAGATTTCGTCGGCTTTAATCGACCGCGAGTGCGGAATCTCGCGCTATCGACACGCGGTTTCACCTCGATGAAACGAGAGCGACTGGGAAGCGGCGCGATTTCCACGCGCGCGCGCACGGGAATTACGCGAAAGGGAGTTACGAGCTCGGCTTACGGTATAATGTAATTAGCGACGCGCGGGCCACCGCGCTGTATCGGCGCGACTTGTAGCGCCGTGTGTTAATTTAATCCGGCCTTTCGACCGACGCGCGAGAGTAAAGATGAAAAAACGAACGACAGTAAAAAAAAAAGAGAAATGCCCCACCGGTCCGGTGGTAAAGCGCGCGTAAAGACCGCGGCAAAATGCCGTTCCGGATCGTATGTAGATCGCTCGCTCGCTTTTTGTGCCATTCCCCGTTGGTGGTCGGTGTGGCGGTCGACAAGAGGCCACACTTCGCGCAGATCATTAAAATTTGCCCGCGCGCCGCTTACTTCTTGCCCCACCCGCTCCCTCCTTCTTCACCCTCCTCGATCGAAGCAGATTGAAGCGAAACGCGGCACTTTGTCGATATTACGCGGAACCACACGGATTAATTACGCTTTCCCTTCACGACCTCGCTAATCCGTCGCCTGATCGCTTCCACATACCGGTAGCGTTTAGCCGACTACCTCGGCATTATTTCGAGATAGTCGGGTGAAATATCGGGGATTAACAATAGAAGTGTGTTTTCGATGGGTTCTCGGGAAAAAAAAGAGTTTCCATACGTTCATTGAAAGCTTAATCGTTGGCCATTTGGCGCGCGTTCGCGGCACCGAGGAAAGTCCACTTTGGTTTCGCGTAGAAAAAAAAATACAAATTGCAAGGGAGCGCTAATCGCACCTTGCGCGCCTTCCACTTTCCTCCGGCTGATTACGAGTAATCGCTTGCGTACGCAAGGTCTCCAAATAATTGCAACCTCCCGCAACAATAGCAGCGACGTTCTCGCGCGAGCGACGTCCGCCGAATCATCGAAGTTTTCCCTCTCTCTGCCCGCCGTCAGATACCTCTTGGACGCAAAGGAGGTCAATCTCGGACTTTTGCGCAATACCGTAGGTAATCGTTATTAAGCAACGGAGATTATCGCCGTGCGAGTCGCGGGCATAGCGTTCGGCGAACGCATTCGATTGCGGTACATCGCAGGGCGAGCAGGAGAGAAAGAGAGAGAGAGAGAGGGAGAGTGGAAGGAAGGAGGGAGATCCAGGTGCTGGCGTATCGCGCAATAAGGAAGAGGCGATCGCTTCCGCGACAGGTTCCGCGGCTAGGATCAGGATCATTCCGACGCGCGATCTAATGGACCCGCGGCCGGCGAATCGTTCTAATCGCTCTGCATTTGTTGTCCTGGCAGCAGGAGACCGGCAAGCCTCCTCCTAATGTCACCCCAAAGATGGCCAGGGATCGTTCCGGGTCGGACTACTCGGGCCACATGAGCGACGCCACCACGTGCAGTTGCGTCGCCAGCTCCATGGACAAGGTGGGCCCAGAGATTTCTTTTGGGGACGAACATTTCTTGTCGAGAAAATCGTCTTCTCCCGGGAAGTTTTTCTTTCCTTAAATTGTTCTAAGAATTTCGATTTTTCATTCAAAATTCCAAACAAGCGTAAACACTTTGCACTCAGTGGGCTTTCAGTGATCTTTTCGGAGATGGAAATTTTTGTAAAAAAAAATCATTTCGATCCAGAAAGTTCTCCTTTTTTTAAATTACTCTAAAAATTTTGATCTTTTTCTCAACATTCTAAGCAAGCGCGATCGTTTTGCACCAAGTGGGCTCAATCATTTTCTTGGGGATGGAAAGTTTTGTCAAAATAATTGCTTTCATCCAGAGAGTTCTCTTTCTTTAAAATACTGTTCCAAAAATTTCGATCTTCTTCTCAATAATGAAAAATTCCGAGCGCGATCGTTTTGCACCCGCGTAAAGTCTATATCAGACAGGGTATTGGAAATTGAGTACTGTTGATTAAAGAGAGATTAAAACTTAATCAATTAATAATTAAGCCTCGACTAGCTTTGTCCCGTTTGTTCAAATTCCAATCTTCAATCCGCAGCTCTCCAATACCATGGTCTGATATGGGCTCAACGTTTGTTTGTGTTGCAGTGCTCGTTACGTGGCTGCGGGATGTTCCAGGAGCCGTTTTTCCTGCACCCGCCAGGCTCCCGGCCTCGGGACGGCATCTACATCAATCCGATGAGTGCGTACATCGGCGAGCCGCCGAAGCCGAAGGACACGGAGTCCTTCTACCTGCATAGTCCGCACGATCTCGTTTACACCAGGATCACCCGGCTGTTCGGCGACGCCGAGAAGCCGCGAAACGGCGTCGCGGCGGAACGTCACGCGGAGAGGAAAGACGAGACTCTGACTGGTAAGTAGCACGTCCCAGATACTTCATCGCTAAGTTAACGCCGCGCTACACACGGTGTCCCGGAAGTATACACGGCCACCAGCCGTCGAAAGTGAAGGGGTTTCGAGGAAACAACGAGCGAACATCGCAGCGTAGCTTTTGTCTCGACGAGATACCAATTTTTTTTCTAGATCCTTAGATATTTTAATAATATTTCAAACGAGACGAAAAGAAATATTTTGTTCTGAAAACAAATCAATTTTCATCGTGAAGAATATTTTCGATGATAAAATTCTGCCAAGTCACTTCTAACGAGATCTCAAAGATCGACCATTAAAGTGTTGGAACTTCGAGGACATTAAAGGAAGATACCATGAAATTGATTTCTCTGATCGCAGTCGTATTATTCACAGATGGAATAAGTTAAAACGAATAATTCTGGGACACCCTGTGCGCTCCGTCGGATCTCGGCAACTGTTGTGGCTCCAGGGCGACCTCGATTCGCGTCCAACGTTCGACATCGTCGATCTCTCTCTCTTTCTCTGTCTCCTTTGCGCACTTCGCGACGATATTTACAAAGTCTCATGTTCAATTAAGCAAAGCCGCGACCATCTGCCTTCGTGGCTTCCACTTCATCGGCCTAATGCACCGACTGCGAAGCGTGCAGAAACGAGATTGCATTCTCTCTCGGGCCAGTTGTGAAAATCACACACTCACGGCACACTCTGTGTGTGTCAGAATTAAATTCGCAATTTTTGAGATAATTCTCAACCGATAACTGCGAGTCCCGCAGACAAATAAAGCAAAGGCCGCTCGAGCCGAATGAGTTCGAGTCCGGCGACCGACGCGATACGCAGCGCAAAATTTTTCGCGAACTTGTCCCATTGAGAGGAGGAAGAGGAAAAGAACGAAAGAGGAGGATACCGTAATTGTCGAGCGAGCGAAAAAAAACTGCACGCGTCGCTCGCGACGCGCATTTCACGAAACCGGGTTAAAGACTCGCGCGCGATTTACCGCGGATACCGTTAAGCCGTTACAGTGCAGCGGCTCTTAATGAGTAAGAGTAATAAGAAGCGCAATCGACGGGCCTATCGAGGCCTTCGACGAATCCCAACGTCGCACGTTACGACTCGCTGCCGCGGAAATATAATTAAATGTTAGACAAAGGAACGTTTGTAAGTCGATCTTTTTTTCCTAACATGCTTACGATCAAACAGCGATTTCAATGAGAACGCTTTGAAGAGATGCCCTGAAGAATTTAACAGGCGCGAGGTGCGCTTGGCCCACGAAAGCGCTAACATGCCTGGTGATGTGTTTTCCCGCGCGTTGCGTATATTCCGCGAGACTTTGACTTTCAGTGAAAGTGGACGTGCACATCAACAACGGCGGGTTCAACCGGCCGCATCCCAGCAACGGACACGCGGCCCGCTCCGAGATCGCCCCAAGGGAAGCCTCGGAGCACGCTTACGAGCAGATCTGCGTGCGGCAGGAGGAAACTGGCAGCGTTGGCTCGTCGTCGCGCAAAAAGCCGGCCGACAATACCTCCGACAGCAGGTAACGCGATTGATTATCGCAAGCGCGGAACCCAAACCCCTAAGACTCGTATTGATAGTCGTTACTTGATACTTGTCCCACGTGAGATACTCAGATCTGAATTTAGAGCTAGGTTTGAGTGTTTTAGAATTAATCATGAAATATACGCGACATCACATTTGTAATTGCGTTTCAAAAGTGAGAAACTCTTATCTAACTCTAAATTCAAATCTAAGGCTTGTACAGTTGTCATCTGAAACTTGTTTCATGTGAGGCATTCAGATCCGTATTAATAGCTGTCTTTTGAGATTTGTTTCATGTGAAGTACTCAGATTTTTACTCAGAGTTAAATCGAAAATCTTCAGTTGAATTATATTATATATATATATATATAATCGCGATTCACCTAAAAAAAACTCATCTAACTCTAAACTCAAATCTGAGTATTTCATTTGAGAGGAGTTTCAAGTAACGACTATTAATATGGGCCTCAAATTTTTATTCAGAGTTAGATCCAAATTGAATTACGATATAAGTAACATTTCTGCAATTGTGCGATTCAACTGAAAAAGTTTTATCTCTCTAACTTTGAATTAAAATTTAAATTTAACTCGGAATCTCTCTCTTGACTCTGACTTTGAATATAAACTTCACTTGAGGCAAGATTTCAACTAATAACTATTAATATATGTTTCTCACACAAAGCAGGTTTCAAATAATGATTATTAATTAATACAGACCTAAGAGTCTAGCATAAGAATTCTGCACTTGTTATAGGACAGTCTATTGTAATTATAATTTAATTTATAATTTAACAAGAAAACACACACGCACATCTTTTGATTACGTAAGATCATGGTAAGCATCATCCAACAAAGCAAATATAACTTAACATATAACGTAATTTATTATATTATATATAACATTGTTAACATAATCAACCGTTCATTCTTCGTTACCGCGAATCGCACGTCAAACTCGCGCGAGCAGGAAACCTGATGAGCACAGCATAACAAAGTGTCAGCCGCAAAGCAATCCCGACACGACGATACAACACGTAAGCGCGAGAAGTCGCGAACAAAATCGTCTCCGTAGTCGCGAAGGAATGATCGCCCGTCGACGACGCATTCTAAGAAAACGCGATATCCACTATCTACGTCCGCCGCTTATCTCGCAGATATGCGCTTGATCGCGACCAGATCAAGTTGAGGATCACGATCGGACCCGCAAAGCACCGACAGAAACCGTTCAGAACGACGTTCTTCGTCGTTTCAGTCGTTCCCGTAAAACTGACAGACGATACAGTCGGTCCAGCAGCGCCAGCGAGTCCTCGAACATGAGCAGCGAGATCCACTGTCTGTCTTCGACGACATCCACCCCCTCCTTGTCGCGACACAGCAGCAATGAGCGGATCGGCAAGGGTGTCAAGACGAATCCCGAAGTGTCACACGGTACGTTCTGGCCTCCGGATTCCTGCAGGGTGGCCACGCTGTCACGTTGAAAACTTGGAGCAACCATCAGCGGGATCATTCCTCGATTTTCAAGTTTGACTCGCTCCAAAGAAAGTGAACAATGTGAAGAGTGGAAGATCAGGGGATTCTTTCCTCTTTTGGTGTGAATTCGTGAAAAGTGAACATATTCCGACTTGGAAGCTCTTGAAAGTTTTCACTCTTCATGAGTTCACTCCTCGGGGAAAGGCTCATGATCGACCCGCAGTGTACTTGTGTGTTACTGCCGCGTTGACAGTTCTTCAAGAGTCAACGAGTCGTCGTGGCCACCTCTGCGGGATCCCAAAGATCGACGAAAGAGTGAGAAGAACCAGCGAGTGATCGGCGATCTCGCGATTCTGTTCGCAGAGAGGAAGGACTCGTCCAGCATGCACGTGGAAAGTGAAAAGGAAACACGAACGGCCGGCAACGGCGGACCTAGGTAAGTAGAGCAGATCGATATACCGGATCGAGACGCTTCACATAGCCACTTTAGCTACCAATAAGAAGAAGGAAAGATCGATCGAAAGTCGATCGCGCGATTCAACTCGCCACGTTCCTCCTCGAGCCGGTTTTTGCTCCTTCCGCAGCTCTTCATCGCTGTCCGTGATATCGCGCAAATGGGACAGGATACGGGATTAGGAGTGGCGGATGGGCGCTTTCTTGGCCGGCCGTCTCCGGTCGTTAGCGCGCCCCGGCAAAACGAATATGAACAATCGACCCGAATAGCGAATCGCTCGGACAAGCGAGCGAATCATTAAGTCGATCATCATAAATTCTGGCAACACTCATCCGCCAAAAAGCACCTGAACAACAACGAATTACAGCAAACGCTAAATACGCCTTTCTGACTGCTAATTTGAAACAACTAATACATTTTTTACACGTGAAGCTCGTATATAAGCAAAATTACATTACAAAATCTGACTTAGAATTGAAAAGACATACTCGAAAAAAATTTTTTGGTTGGATTAACCAAATTGCTGAGGGTGAAATACGAACGAGCTAGAAATGCCGGCTGAAATTATCGGAATACTGTTCAGGTTAATGGGATTTCTAGTCGAGTAGGATTCTAATAATTTTATCCGGAACTCCCTTTTTTGTGTTAACGCGCTCGTTATGTTAAAACCCCTGGAAACTTCTGGAGCAAAGAATCTCTCTTGAAACGAAACAAACAAAGAGATATGGTTCTATCGTTTTCCTACTTTTCTTTATTGCCTCCGCTCATTTAGCATTTTTTATTGCCATTTCGTGTTTTTACGTATCTTTGCCAATTATCAGTAGCCATTACCCGGTACTGTGATTTTTATCGCTATAATTATCACTATCACCTTTGCTCGTTCTCATAAAATTGCGAGAAGCTCGCTAATCTTCTTCACTTTCCTCGCGCGGCATGTTCATGATTACTACCTGCCGTATCAGGTGTCAACAACAGCTACCGCAATAGCGCTACCTTCACTCGTCTCCTGACCAAAGTCCCTTTCACCGATTCTCCGATCGTTTCGCGCTGTGCAAAATTGCCCAGGGTACCTTTTACGAGCGTCAGGATGTCTGTTGTTTAGTCTTTCGAAACCACCGCCGCCGCCGCCGCCGCCGCCACCGGACGACGACGTGGTGGTCGTCCTGGTGAACGCCAAGCAGAGCGCGGAGAGCACCGGCGCCGCTGAGAAGAAGGAGTCGCGGCCGGGTAACGGCCAGGACGGAAGGAGCGAGTCCTCCGGTAAGGAATCACGGCGTGTCCACTTCCTCGTGTCCTTTCGCCACCTTGCGAAATGCGCGAACGCGTGAAAGTTGCAGCTCGACTTTGACTGGACCGCGCGAGCGCGGCCTGACATTTCCGCGCGCGTGCTCGCCACGAAAAACGCGTTTCCCGATCGATCTATATCGTACGTTCGCGCCCGCGGCGCAAACCGTCGGCGAACCCCGCGACCGGGTTCCGCGGAGTGGCGAGAAAGCGCGCGCTACTTCCGGGACACCCTGTATAGCGCCGGACGCATTCGCGTTTACTGAGACGTGAAGCGGTACATCAGCTCGTCCCGCGATTGAAAGGACATTAGTCTCAGGCAGTTTCACCTCGCGGATCGCGAACGCTTGTTGCTCGCGCTCGAGCGAGAAGAGGATTATTCGCGTCGAAATCGCGCCAACGACGTTGTCGCCGGTCGTCGGTCTTCTCACGGCCATTGATCGCGAACAGACACTACACGAGAATGATTCACGACTGCACAGTTCTTCGATAAATTTGGAGATGAGAAACGAATCGGTTCTCATCTCCAAATAACTCGTTGACTGCCATGGCTCGTTGACTCATTAGCGATATATATATATGATATCACCGTGTCTCATTAGTTTATGAATAAAACGTATTCAATTACATGTAATAAATTAAATTAATAAAACAAGTAATCAGTAGGAAAAGCCAGTGGAACGAGCTAATAAATATTGGCGCAAAAAATGTGTGATTTTTCTATTAAAATGTTGCAAAAGGTTTGAGCAGTTAAAGGGAAAATAGCAAGTCCCCGTTAGATATCTATAAAATACTAAGTCGTTGTTGTGCATTTTATTCGTGAAAAATATTAATCCTTCGGAATTAAATATCGCGTCTTCTATCTTATTTGACGCACACACGACAAACCTTTTGCACCAACTTAATATATCCATTATGAAACATAATCTTTACAAATAAAATGAACAAAATATCGACTCGGCATTTTTTAGATATCTAACGGGCACTTCTTCTACTCTCCTTTTAATATCTAAACTTTCCACGACAATTTCACAGAAAAGTGAACAATTTTTTTCACTTAAGGTTTGTTATTTCGTCTTTCTCTCACTGGCTTTCTATTGACTGTAATACTTTATTAATTTAATTCAATTTAATTAATTTAATGTAATTGAATACGTTTTATTAACTGTATATTTTATTAATTAAATTGAATTTAATTTAATACAATTGGATACGTTTTATCCGTCAATTACCGTTTCTTAGGCAATTAAAAGCTTAGTTGAGCATTCAAAGTAATCCATAAAAATCAGTGTGGCGGTCAACGCATTAATGGAGTACTCGCGAGACACATGGTCAAGCTTGAGTTTCATCCTCAATGCTGAGCGCATCCCCATGATCCCAATTATATCCATCAGTCTCGCGTGGAATCTCTTCCGGATAGGAGACCGCCAGAAACTCGTCCGGGGAATTTATCGGGACCAGGAAGCGCGCGGTCGCGCAAAGCACAATAACCGCTACATCAAATCTGCAATCCGCAATAATTCGTTGCATTTTTATCGCGGTGTAATCGCGCAGCCGGGCGTGCCGCATTGCGAGCCAACATCTACATTTTCAGCGCGCTCTTCGATACGTATCATCGTGTCATCGTGACGCACGGCAATTAGCCGATCCGACGTCGCCCGGTAATTAGCGGGATCGGACGAATCAGTTAATTCACCGAGATGTTAATCTGCGCCGCGAATCTAATTAGGCCGGCTCGGCTCAGCTCAGCTCAGCTCAGCTTGGCTCGGCTCGGCTCAGCGCGATCTCAGACGGCCCGTTTCGCGATTTGGCCCAGGCGGTTCGGCCTTTAATTAAACTGTTAGCGGATCATGCCGAGGTAGCCTCACTTACTAGACCATGGCGCTCACCGGGCATATAATATACTTACCTAGATTTCACTTGCTCGCCGGTAACGACCGTCCAGTGCGCTAGGATATAACAAGAACCCCTCTCCCTACTTCTCTTCTCTACTCACTCACCTCTCTTTCTCTCTCTCTTTCTTTCTCTCTTTGTTCCTCGGTCTCGTTCTCTATCTTCATCTCTCCTTTCCGCGTCTCGTTCTCTCTTCTTCTTTCTCACCGCCGCTGTCTCGGAACAGCGACCAACAAGTCCGACGTATCCTCCGGCGAGCATCAGCAGCCGGAAGTGCCTCCCGCCAGTGCACCGGTGGACGCGGACGAAATTAAAGCGAGCCAGGCGTCCCACCTGGTAAACAGGCACATGGTGCTGCCGTTCATACCGCCCAAGTTCGCCAACGCGGACTCCAACACCCTGCTGAAGCCGTCCGAGTACCTGAGGAGTATCTGCAAGGTGCCGTCGAAGAACAGCCTGTCCAAGGCGAGGTCAGTGATCTCCTGCATTACGTGCACAGTGACTAACTCGCGGTTTGCCTCGCTTCATCTCTCGTGTGTCTCGGAGTATCCGCGGTTTGCCTACTCGACGTAGAAGTATCGTGCAACAGTGGCGGTTCCTCGGCATTTGTTACGCTGTAACAATGTAAGGTCGCGGCGTATTCAACTCGCCGGTGACACAACGGAAATGTAGGCAACGAGTTCAACGTGATTAATTACGCGCTTCTTCTGGGGATCCATTTCTCCCCGACAAAAGTGATATGCGATCTTCTCGGCAAAATCTAATTCGATTCAAAATATCTAGAAAAAATGCAAGTTAACATATTCTTAATTTGACATCCAGCAAAGTGACTTGAGTAATTTTCTAACGGCTCAAAACAATCTCGCGGTTCCCCGAAGTGTAAGAGATAAACTCAAAAGTTTCTGTCTCGATTTCTCAAACGGATAAAGTTATCCTCGAGCCGCCACAAATTTTCCGGCCGCTGTTTAAATTCAACTATTCGAAATCGCATTCGCAGGTCAGTGGACAACTTGGATATCCAGAGTCGGAACAACGAGCAGGCTGAAGAGGAAGCGGAAGAGGCGGAGGAGGAAGAGGAGGAAGGTGTGCAAAGGAGCGAAGAGGCCAAGGGATCTCCCGCTGGCCCTCCGCCGCCGCCGTTGTCTCCTCTGCAGCGAGCACGGGTTAATCAGGCAGCGGGCAGTGGCGGTAACGAGTCTGAGAGTTCCAAGAACCCGCAACCCTTAGCGACGATCAGCATTCAGGATCTTACGAGTATCCAGCTACGACGGACCAGCACGAAGATGAACGCCACCAAGACGTTCTCCGCTCCGCCGCCTCGCAGTGTGTCCATGACTAACGGTAAGCCCGCGACACACATACACGCATAGCGCGCCTTTGCGGACACGCGCGGGATCTTGATTACGGCACCATCTCGAGCTGAGATCTCGAGAAGAGTCCCGATAAATATCTTTTGTCTTTAGGAATATCTCGTCGTGTCTAAGAGTGATATTAATTCTCGATTCTTGTTTCCGCCGATAACGGCCGTGACGAATCGACAGGATTCTTTGTCCTCTGGTTATAACTGTAAAATTAGAGAAGGAAGATTACCTCGTCTCAGATAACTGGGATAATTCCTTTCACGAGATCGTTCGTTCTAGTTTCAGAGCCGTTCTTCGTGCAAAAGACGGACCTAATCGCCGAGTTGAAGCGCACCAAGGACATACCCGGTATCAAGAAACTGAAGGTGGAGCGGGCACAAGTGGAGAAGACTCAGGAGCAGAACCTCATGTCGGAGATCAGCAAGGCCTTCAGCGTCACGAAGTTCGTCGACCAGGCAAGTAATCGCGAGATGGCGAAACATCCTCGAGTCTCCGACATATCTTTTTCACGCGCTGTTCTCGTAGATCCCGGAGAAGGACAGCTCGGGAAACATGATACCGATCTGGAAGCGACAGATGCTGGCGCGGAAAGCCGCGGAGCGCGCGAAGAAGGAGCTCGAGGAGCAAATAGCGAGGGAAAACGAGGAGAGGCGGCAGAAAGCGATCCCGCCGTGGAAGCGACAGCTTCTCGCCAAGAAGGACAACGACGAAAAGAGGTGTGTGGCTTATCGATAAGATTCACCTATCGCGCGTCGCTGATATCATAAGGACAAGAGAAGCGAAAATACAATTGAAACAAGAGATATCCACGGCAGTGGAAGACATTTTCTTGAGCGCGAACATTCGCGCGAAAAATCAAATCAACTCAAATCCCGATATCACGCGAGAAGGGGATTCGCTTCGCGCCATTTTGCGCGATTGAATTCTGCCGGCTTTCAGCGCGCGTAGAAATTAAGTGGTCGAATTATAGCGAATGTTACAATTGGCCCTCGTTGGGATTGACCCCGAGCCGCGCTACTTCGTTACAAAATTGTGCAACCCGACGCGCATGTGATATTACATATACGCCGTCCATTAAAAAATTAGCCCGGCCAAATCTGACGCTCGCGCTCGCCTCCAAGCGGGAAGGACACCTTGAGCCGTGTCAAACGGAGAATGAGTATCAAGTGTCCATCCTCTCGGTTTCGTTGCAGACTAAATCAGACGCAGCAGACGTCCGCGTCGGCCGCCGCTTCCGCAACCGCCGCCGTCGCCGCCGCCGCCAGCGTCGCCACCGCCACGCCGACCAAGTTCGACGTGACGACGAAACCGAAGAGGGACGTCTCGCCGGCGACGTCGGGCGTCATCAAGAAGGAGGAGAAACCCGAGGTCGACGAGAAGCGGGAGGACCCGGCCAAGGACGACTCCGACGACGGCCAAATTATACCCTGGCGGGCGCAATTAAGGAAGACCAACAGCAAGCTCAACATCCTCGATTAACGATCGCGCGTCTAAGCACCGCGGCGGAGAGGCGAAAAAAGATTGGGAGAAGGACACGCGGTGTAGGTATCTGCGGTTTATTCCGCGGACGCGAGTCTATGTATAATCGGAGCTAATGTAATGTAACTTACGCAACATGGGTAAAATGAGCGCGAAGAGCAGGAGGAGGAGGAGGAGGAGGAGGTGTCAGTCTGTTCGCTCTCTGGCAGAGATATAAATGAACATATAAGGTGATTCATGGTATTACACAACACACGAAGCGTCTTCGATACTCTCTAAGACTAGCACATACATACGTACGTATAAGATACTCCGTTACGGGGTACACAGTCGAGGAGGATACTCTTTTTTTATATACTCATTGCGTCCACACACCGCGTCTTAGCGGGACATCCTCGCAGGCGTCGTCGCTCGTGGCCAACATTGTACCTTCAAACGCGTATGCATATATATATATATATTTTTTTTGACTAAAGTACGTTTGCGGAATTGTAATTTGCGAGGGGTATCGCGGGTGTTCCGACAGGAGGTAGAGATTATTTTGTAACTGCGCAGAAAAAAAGAGAGTGAGAAAGGAAGAGACTTTATCGTCTCATATCTCTTGAGGAACATACGTCACAAATCGCCCGCGAATAATGTACATACAAATAAGTCTCATGATTCCGTCTGCATTATAAAGCTTGAGGTAATCTGTTGTAACTGACGAATTAATTACGATCCTACCATTGACGGCACCGGACGAGCGCGGGTAAGATTCCGCTCTCCGACGGATCGTTTCCACTCAACAAAAATTCCATTCGACGTTTCATCGCCACGGACGAAGAGGTGAAAAGGTGAAGATTGAGGAATAGTGGAGATTACGGCTGTATCTCATTTACTTTTGCTGAGAAGAAGAGAGGGATCTACGAGGGGAGAGCCATTGAGCAACGCGGCGTGTATAAAACCCGTATCAGACTAGGAGATTGAGGATTGCGAGTTAAAGATTGGATTTCGACGAGTCAACAAACTTCGGTCTCGGTTCGCTTTGTTCTAATTGATCAAGTTCAATCCGCAATCGTCAGTCTCTAATCTATAGTCTGATACGAGCATAACGCGTTGAAAAGGCGTCGTCCGGCAATTCCGGGTCTGATTAATCGCGTCGGAGAGGGCATTAGCGATAAACGCGACTGGTAGCTACACCAATTACAGTCATTAGGATCGTGCAGAAACTGGAGATCAGCGAATTAATATTGACGTTGATTAATCGCACCGCCAGCGCCGCGATAACGCCGCGGACAACAATTATCTTCTGCCACTTCGCCGGGATCCACCTCCCCGCGAAATAACGGAGCGATCGCCGGGATATTTTACGCGTGCGGGCACAACAGTACATTAATCTTCCGATGAATACGCGCGTAACTTTCATCCTCCAACGATAGATATATTCACAACGCAATTCGCAACGGAAATCGAGCGTTGTTTCAAATACAACTCTCGCGCTTCTCATATATTATTATTATTGTTATTATTAGGTGTCACAAGTTATTATTATTATTATAACTGTAGAATCCGTTAGTTATCACGAGAGAAAATGCATCGGGAAAAGATACTTAAACATTTATCTGTGGGATACACAGTTTATTTCCGAAAAAAAGTGCTTTTACACAAGTATTTTCAAGTTTTTTTTTTCTAGTGTGTGATGGCTCATCAGTTTGATGCGTGAAAGAGGAGTCAACAACAACAAACATGCACTCCGTTTCATGGAAATATATATGGAAATATATAATATAGAAATCACGAACTAAAGGGTACAAGAAGCTTTTCCGGGGATTACGAATGATTTGACTTCTCGCTGAGAGCAACCCGCACACGTTACACTTCGGCTAACGACAATCATCGACTGTATTGACGTTGATTGTCAGTTCGGAAACTTTCGTAGCTCTCCCCTATGGCGTACCAAGCGATTGCGTCAAGAGCAATTTATACGATTCTAACGTAATGACGGAAATTATTATGTATTAGGTACATTGTACAATAAGCTATTAGTCATAAGTCATAGGCAAGTTGATCAACCACAGTCGATTATTTTTGAAAACAGTCGACTGTGATTAGTCAATTTGCTTGCGACTTATGATTAATAGCTTATTGTAGAGCTTATTGTATAGCTTTATTTACCGCAACGAAGCCGATCCCGTAGAAGCGACGTTCTGCCGGAGTTTCGCCGTAGCTGTTGATAATCGATACGTGCAACTCCCAGTTCGGCAGGTGTTTCGGTTTTTCCTTTCTTTGTCTCCAAATGCAACGCATCGTGCTGCGAGCCGCACACCTGGCACCCCGTTTTTCGCGACCATTTTTCATGCACTCCTTCGCACGAAAAGCGGAACGACGATAGCGATGAGGGTAGGAAAAGCTACGCTACGCGCGCGATGGTGGGAAACAGCGTAACGTCTCGGCTGTTTTCTCTCCCTCTCCCTGCCTCCCTCCCTCCCTTCCACCCTTCCTCCCTCTCTTTCTCTCTCTCCCTCCCTCCTCTCTCTCTCTCTCTCTCTCTCTCTCTCTCTCTCTCTCGTTGACGAATAAAGCGCGGCATTGTATACATACACACACGCGCGCGCGCGCTTCCGTGACGTGCGCGGCCGAGCCTCTCTTCCCTCTCTTTCACGTCACTTCGTCATACGCAGCCTTCGTTACGACATCGAGGAGCGTTACAACGAAACGAAACGATACGAAAGCCGAAGAACGACACAGCCCGCGGAAGGCGTCGGTGTCGCGACGCTCTGTCGACGAGCCTCCACTTGCTTCTCATCTTCCTCATCCTCGTGTTCGACGTCGCGTGAGCAGCAGCTAGCGCCGCGATTTACCGTCGCCCGGCGAGACGAGATTTTTGGCAGGCGTTTTGGAGCGCAGTTTGAGCACGGCGAGCGAGCGAGTTGCGACGCCGGGCGAGAGGGAAAACAGAGAAAGAGGGAGAGAGCTCACCTCTCGAGGTCAAGTTTTCTCGGGTGTTCCTCGGGCTTTTGGAAGCTGACACGTCGACAAAAGTCTACCGGTCATACAGTTTGACAGTTGATACGCGAGGGAGAGTTAAAAAAAAGAGCGAGAGAGAGAAAGAGAGAGAGAGAAAGAGAGAGTGAGGTACGGTAACAACGCAGAGTAGAGTCGTGTGGTGGTACAGATAAGTGGGATCGAAGCTGAAACCCCAAGCGAAAGGAACCGATTCGAACGCGGAAGAGCGGGAAATCGAGGCGCGCGCTCTTATGTTGAGCGCGCGTGATTTGTGACTGTCACATCGCACACGAGCGCACTCTAAACACATACCGGCGAGATGGCGTCCAACCGCAGCGTACTAGGTAAGTCGCTGATTCATGTGCGTGGGGTTGAAAGGGGTTGAAAGCAGCGAGGTGGTCCGATTCGTCGCTTCGACCTTTGACCATCACGTCGCGTTTCACTTAAAAATGAGCGATCCGTCGTGTCGCGTGCTGGTCAGACGCTGGGATTTCCCCAAATTTGTTTTATCCTTACGATTTTATTCTCGGCTCGCAAGCCGTTTGGTTTTAGCGCGAATCCATCTCACCGCGGCTCAGTAGAATTTTCCATGAACTAATTTGAACGTATTAGGTTTAAGTTAGTCATACTCGCCTCGGGCTACATCTAATTTGCGCATCTCGTGTCTAATTTGCGTGCGCGAAGGCTTTTCCATATCATCGCGACCTCGTTTTTTCTCCATTGTTTTTTTCGCGACGCGAATTTTCAATAAAGGTGATATTTGTCGAAGCTACGTATCTATGAATGTTTTCAAGAATAATGATAATTTCTTGCGTATTAAATCGTCACTTATCGTGCGTCAACAATTTTTATTCTTCATCGGCTTTAAGTAATATATTATTTCTTACTTTATATCTACGAGTATATATACACATACAGTCATAAAATTGAAAATATTCGCACCAACATTTTTAACATTTATTTCGCGCTTGGATATTGCCTCTTCTTAGTTGCTTCTGTTCTGTCCCTTAATTTATATAATATTATTTCTTTTCCCCGGTATAATATGATGATTTCGAAAAGGCAGACTGGTAGTAAAACTTAATTGCACGCAATCACGCGCGACGGCAACGAACGGCTGCTTCCGCTCAAGCGTTAATATATTCCTCGTTACGACAATGATTCGTCAAGAAACAACATAATTCGACCGGCGACGCGACGAGCTTGAAATTAAAGCGCCGCCGTTCGTCACGAGAGTCGTCAGTATTTTATTCGCGAGCAGCTTCCGTTTGCGTGCTCGCATCAATCCCGCCCACGGGATAAGTAAGACCGCTCTGTTAATTCCAAAATTAGATATCGTCTTCTAACGGCACACCGAAGCGCGACGATGCGAACACGTTTATTGTCGGGAGTCGTCGTGCGATTTATAACTACCTTTGCTACTACCTTCACAAACACATCGACTGATTGACGATCTAAGACGCACGAGTCTACGAAAAAACGAAAAGAGCGCATTCTCGATTTGAGCGTATTCTACGCTAAAAGTTCTAAGATAAAAGTAGCAACCTCGGACACTTGTCTATAATCTCATTCTGTCTTCAAATGCAAATATTTCAACATTCAACATAAAATATATACAGGCTGAGTCAATAATATATAGAACTCTTGTGCGCATGTAAATTAGATCGAATTGAGCAAAAAATTCGTCTATCATTTTGTAAACAAATCACGTGTAATTCTGTGTTATTAATTAAAGAGGATTAATTAAAGTAAATTACGCGCTACGTAATAAATGATTGATGGCGACGCTTGCTGCCGTAAATTTATAGATTAAGTTAAACTGAGCGAAAAAAGACATCAAATATAAACCTCATGTTTGTGTTTGATTTCTCTATCATTTTACAAATAGCCACGTAGATTTTGAGTTATTAACTAAAGAAGTTTCGAAGACGATCGCGCACGATCCTTTCGCCAATTCTTTTTAAATAAATTAATCCAAGATTAAGTACGCGTTCGAGGATGGCACATTATAGTACAGAGAGGGAGGGAGGGAGGGAGAGAGAAAGAGAGGGAGAGAGAGAAAAAGAGAAAGATATTAGGCAGCTCGTATTAGAACATAACGCTGGATCAACAGGATAACCCGCGCGTAACCTGCGATCTCTGAATGAAGTCGCGGCGTGACACGAGCGCGGTGTCTACGTATTGCAAAAAAAAAGAAAAGATAGACTCGCGGACGTCTCTTGCCCTGGACTTTCGATGCCGCTGAGGTTAACGCGTGTCGGCGATGTACTCGCGTCACCGTCGGGGAGCCGTTGGTGCCACGCAATGTAATGTTAATAGCCGCTCATAGTCCACGCGACGCACCAGCCTCTAATCTTCAGCCAATGGCAGGCAGTGCGAATACGCGAGCGCGGCCGAGCGCTCGCATGCTCGCACGCGCTGCGAATTCCATTTGCAATCGTTAGGCTCGCGCTTCTTGACCCGAATCGGTGCCGGCGATCGTTATTACGAGGACGAGTCATTAAACCGCGGCTGCGAAAAGCCGCTGCGCTATTTCGGGCCTTCGCAAAACGACGAAACGCACCCGACGTAAATAGCTCCCCGCCGTGCGAAACGTGCAACCGGGTTCTGGGTGAAGGTTGTGATAACTAATCTGTTGGTCGCTTTTGCCAAAAGACGCGAGAGGCAGCGCACGGCTGCGTTCGAGAACGCAAGGGATCTCCGTGGTAACGCGTCTCGGAGATGGTTTTAGCCTTCTTTCACTCACGTACCGGTCTCTCAGACCGACGAGACACGAAGTCAATGGCTTTTCCGAAGCCATTAATGCGCAGAGAAAAACGTTTGATTATATTGTTTGTGTTTGATATGGTTGTAATGAACTAACCGATTATTTTTGGTCGGGGAAAAATGGGATCTCTGGTTCTGACAAAAATTCTAAAAAATTTGGGTCGTAAGAACCAGAAATCCCGTGTCATTCAACTAAGACGCGTTGCTTCGTTTATCAAAACAAACCAAACTTCATGTTAATATAACCAAATCTTTTCCTCGTTTTATAATGTATTTATTTATTTATTTATTCACTTATTTAAACGGTAATGTATTTTTTAAGTAAATAAAAGAAAAAAACATGAAGTCCAAAAAGAGAAAGATAAAAATGCAATTGTAAAAAGAAATGTAGAAAGAAAATAAAGAAAGCATGATAGAAAACAGTAATCTAATTAAGTAATCTAAGAGAACCTGTTAAGTTATTCCATGATAACAGTTCTAAAAATATTTAACGATATATGATAGAGAAAACGATGTCATAATAAGTACTCGCTAACATATGGTAATAAATAATATAATATTTATATTACATAAATGATGTAAAGATTAAAATTCGCTATAAGGCTATACAATTCTAAAAAAAAAGGTGGGTTCTTCATAAGAGTAGAACATCAGGTATATTAAATGTAAATAAGTTGTAAAAGAGAAGAGTAATCAACAATATCTCTCAATCAACAATCAAATTTCTCAGGAGCTTAAAAGATAAAAGATTATTCGTAATTCTAGCTTTTAAAGATAATAAACCTAGACGTTTAAATACAGGTTTTGACAAGCAATTGGCACACGATTACTTAGATAAAAAGCTATGAATGATTCTCTTCTATGAAAGTGATGTTGGATACGCTCGAAAAGGGATAACGTGACCATTTTATGTGCTATTGTGTGCGAGCATTTTAATTCAAGACCAAAATAATGCCAGAAAAACAAATTTGATTTATTTCATTTCCGTGACTTAAAACTTGGTCTCACAGACCGAGCACGAGTCTCTCTATATTAGAAAGTTCTTTAAGTCAATGACTAAGTTGTTTTAAAGTGAAACTGCTATCGCCTGCGGATCATTAGTCAGTATGCTTAAACATTTAACATGTAATCTTTTCGCATGAAAATACAATGAGCGCTGAGTAAACGTTTCGCGAGTATCGTTCAGCAAAAAAGCACCAAACGATCGCGCGGCAGCCGTACGCTGCGCTCGTGTGCGATTTTCAACTAGCTCGAAGAGCACGAGAATGCAATCCTCAGATTAATTCGCCGAGAACTGAATCTCGTGCGCCGTGTCTCGCCCGCGACTTTGAGACTTCTTGGCCAACTTGGTATCTCGACCGAGAAACCGAGCCGCTAATTGATCAACGGACGTTTCCGCGAATTCCGGTATCGCGGTTTATCCTCATTCACATCTCGCGAGGTAAATTAACACGTTCGTTACCGCTGCTCATCCGGCCAGTTGTCTGTAGCAGCATACTTGGAATTCCTTTATGTAAAACTGCGCGAACAGATCTAATTTGTTTACGTGAACATAGAATAAAAATTATCGCTGTCACACATGTGCGACGTCGGTCTCTCATGAGAGTGCGTCACGCATGTGCAACCCTGTTGGCGAATCTATTAAAGATCGAGAAGTTATTAAAGATCACGAAGTAATCACGAAGTAGAGTGAAATAATCCATTATTGGTATCCTCTTCAGTTATTGGCGATTAAAAGGGGATTAATGAACTAAGAATTAATATTAATATATTGGGGATTAGAGAAAAAAGAATATTCTTGTTTAAAGAATCATTTTCTCATAGAATATTATTAGTATTCTTGGTTATATATTATTAGTCTACAACCAAGACAAATATAGTCATTAACACAATCATTTTTCTCATATATAACCAATAATATTGGCTTTCCTGCTTATATATAAAAAAATGATTATGTTAATTTGACTATATTTGTCTTAATTGAAAACTAATTTATCTTCGTTCAACGCCATATAATTTCATTTTAACATTAATCTTATTTTTAAAATGTTAACAATAAAGATATCCTCCAAACAAGAATGTTCTTTTTTTCTAAGCAGCTTTACACCATGTACATTGCAAATTTGAAAAATTATTTTAATTATTAAAAATTACATTATTTTAATTATATTTAAAATTATTGTATCGCACAGTCGAAACTTTCAAACATCATTGTTTTTCCATTGAAAATTATCTTCATTAACACTCAGCGTTATCTCAACTCGGTTTCTTATTTTTATTAAGTTACTCAGTGAGAACCGCGCGACTCCCCTCCGGGATCGCGAAGGGTTGATCTTCGCCGATTCGGATCATGCCTCGCCACGTCAGTTTTCTGGCCGTTAAAACCGGCGTCATTCTATCGAGGTCATCGGCGATACGACCCTACACCGTCGAGTAAAAGCGGCCGTAAAAATCGTGATTAGTGGCGCCGAGAGCGCCTTTCAAAGACTGTTCAAGACTGACCCCGCGAGCGCGGAACGATTCGCGATCGCCACTAAGCGTGACTCTTCTAATACGGTTATCTCCGCAGATGTATCGT